TGTATATGATGTGTATATAAAGTCTAGTGAGTGTGTGTAGGGTCAATGCAAGATAGTTTGGGTACCATCATTTGCTATTTAGCGGTCTGTCTCGGAGCCTGTTGGTCCGAGAGCCGATGCTCCGGTACCGTTTGCTGGATGGTAGCAGAGTGAACAGTCTATGGCTTCGGTGGCTGACACCACCTGATATAGAGGTCCTGGATGGCAGGGAGCTCGGCCCCAGTGATGTACTGGGCTGTCCGCACCACCCTCTGTAGCGTCAAAGATGTTTATAACAAAACCAAGGTAGACCACAGCCGTCGTTTCAAATGGGAACAAATGAGTTATAGTGGGCAGATCAAGCAAGGAGGTGGGCAGAGCCAAGCACGAGCTAGCAAGATCCTATTGGCACGTTCTAGCATGCATTTAATAACTCAATTAGCTTTTGCACTCCTTCTAAACAACGCTATTTTTTAAAACTTTGGCAAAGGGTAAAGTCTACAAAACGTAGTCCACTCTGTTCGTAACAGATTCTAGTTTTGGGAACAGAAAACTGTATCGATGTGGATGGGGGCGTGCTCTCCCCTCTTTGTCCTATAGTCAACGATCAGCTCTTTGGCCTTACCGAAGTTGAGGGATGTTGTTGTCCTGGCACCACACTGCTAAGTCTCTGACCTCCTCCCTGTAGGCTGATTCATCGGCGTCGGTGATCAGACCTACCACCTTCGTGTCGACAGCAAACTTGATGATGGTGTTGGGTGTGCGGCCACACAGTCGTAGGTGAACAGGGAGTACAGGAGGGGACTAAGCACACAACCCTGAGGGGCCCCCATGTTGAGGATCAATGTGGTGGAAGTGTTGTTGCCTACCCTCACCACCTGGGGCCAGCCCATCAGGAAGTCCAGGATCTAGTTGCAGAGAGAGGGGTTCAGTCCCAGGGTCCCTAATTGGTGATGAGTTTGGATGGGACTATGGTGGTGAACGCTGAGCTGTAGTCTATGAACAGCATTCTCACATAGTTATTTCCACTCTTGTCCAGGTGGGAGAGGGCAGTGTGAAGTGCAATTGAGATTGCATCAACTGTGGATCTGTTGGGGCGATATGCGAATTGGAGTGGGTCTACGGTGTCTGGGATGATGGTGTTGATGTGTGTCATGACCAGCCTTTCAAGCACTTCATAATTACAGATATGAGAGCTACAGGGCGATAGTCATTTAGGCAGGTTACCTTGGAGCTCTTGGGAACAGGGACAATGGTGGGCAATTTGAAACATGTTGGGATTACAGACTGGGACAAGGAGAGATTGAAAATGTCTGTGAAGACACCTGCCAGCTGGTCTGTGCATGCTTTGAGAACACGCCCTGGTATTCCATCTAATTGTTAACCTGTTTAAACGTTTTGCTCACATCGGCCACGGATAGCAAGATCACACAGTCATCTGGAAAAACAGGGGCTTTCACGCAAGGCACAGTGTTATAATCCTCGAAGCGAGCATGAAAGGCATTTAGCTCATTTGGGAGTTCTGCATCGCTGGGCAACTCATGGCTGGGCTTCCCTTTGTAATCCATTATCGTCTGCAAGCCCTGCCATATACGACGTGCGTCGTAGCTGGTGTAATAGGATTCTACCTTCCTCCTATATTGTCCTTTTGCATGTTTGTAGCGGGATTTCTTGTATGCGTCCATGTCCGTGTCCCGGTCACTTTAAGCGGTAGTTCTAGCCTTTAGCCCAGCTAAAGGAAATTGCCTGTAATCCATGTTTTTTGGTTTGGATACGTTTTTATAGACACTGTGTGGACGACATCGTCTATGCACTTATTGATGAAGCCCGTGACAGTTGTGGTAAACACCTCAATGTTATTGGATGAATCCCGGAACATATCCCAGTATGTACTAGCAAAACAGTCTTGTAGCCTCGCGTCTGCTTCGTCCGACCACTTCCGTATTGAGCGCATCACTGGTACTTCCTATTTGAGCTTTTTGTAAACAGGAAGCAATAAAATAAATCACACACCCTCCCCAAAGCCAAAAAATAAATTAGACAACCGTCCCCTATTTTGGACCAGCCCCTCCACCCCAGTACATTTCGAACTATCCCTTAATAACTCTATAAGGATTTATGAGTAAAAAGTTGTAGCCTAATAAATGACAAATAGCCTACATGGCAGTCAACATTGGGGGGTAAATTTTGTCTCTCAGAAGCAATTTTTTCATGGAATATTTATTGTTGAAAGTGATGACTCAACAACATATCAGTTACTGTTACATAGAGTATATACAGTGCATTTGGAAAGTATTCAGACCCCTTGACTTTTTCCATATTTTGTTACGTTACAGCCTTATTCTAAAATTGATTAAATCGTTTTTTTTCTTCATCAATCTACACACAACACCCCGTAATGACAAAGCAAAAATACGTTTTTAGAAGTTTTAGCAAATTAATTTTATTAAAATTAAAAACATAAATATTACATTCACATAAGTATTCAGACCCTTTAGGCAGTACTTTGTGGAAGCACCTTTGGCAGTGATTGCAGCCTCGAGTCTTCTTGGGTATGACGCTACGAGCTTGGCACACCTGTATTTGGGGAGTTTCTCCCGTTCTTCTCTGCAGATCCTCTCAAGCTCTGCCAGGTTGGATGGGGAGCATCGCTGCATCGCTTTTTTCAGGTCACTCCAGACATGTTAGATCGGGTTCAAGTCCAGGCTCTGGCTGGGCCACTCAAGGACATTCAGAGACTTGTCCAGAACCCACTCCTGCGTTGTCTTGGCTGTGTGCTTAGGCTCGTTGTCCTGTTGGAAGGTGAACCTTCGCCCCAGACTGACGTCCTGAGTGCTGTGGAGTAGGTTTTCATCAAGGATCTCTCTGTACTTTGCTCCATTCATCTTTCCCTTGATCCTGACTAGTCTCACAGTCCCTGCCGCTGAGACCTACCCCACAGCATGATGCTGCCACCACCAAGTTTCACCGTAGGGATGGTGCCAGGTTTCCTCTAGATGTGACGCTTGGTATTCAGGCCAAAGAGTTCAATATTAGTTTAATCAGACCAGAGAATCTTGTTCCTCATGGTCTGAGAGTCCTTTAGCTGCCTTTTGGCAAACTAAACAGGTTGTCATGTGCCTTTTACTGAGGAGTGGCTTCCGTCTGGCCACTCTATCATAAAGGCCTGATTGGTGGAGTGCTGCAGAGATGGTTGTCCTTCTGGGTTCGCCCATCTCCACAGAGGAACTCTGGAGCTCTTTCAGAGTGACCATTGGGTTCTTGGTCACCTCCCTGACCGAGGCCCTTCTCCCCCGATTGCTCAGTTTGGCCGGGCTGGTGGTTCCAAACTTCTTCCATTTAAGAATGATGGAGGCCACTGTGTTCTTGAGGACCTTCATTGCTGCAGAAAGGTTTTGGTACCCTTCCCCAGATCAGTGCCTCAACGCAATCCTGTCTCGGAGCTCTACGGACATTTCCTTCAACCTCAAGGCTTGGTTTTTGCTCATGTAGACAGGTGTTTGCCTTTCCAAATCATGTCCAATCAATTGAATTTACCACAGATGGACTCCAATCAAGTTGTAGAAACATCTCAAGGATGATCAATGGAAACAGGATGCACCTGAGCTCAATTTCGAGTCTCATAGCAAAGGGTCTGAATACTTATGTAAATGTAATATTTCAGCTTTCTATTTGTAATAATTTTGCAAAAATGTCTAAAAACCTGTTTTTGCTTTGTCATTATGGGGTATTGTGTGTAGATTGATGAGGGGGGAAAAAAACAATTCAATCCATTTTAGAATAAGGCTGTAACGTAACAAAATGTGGAAAAAAAAAAGGGAAGGGGTCTGAATACTTTCCAAATGCACTGTAGCTGAGCCTGTGTAGCCTAGGTAGCCGTTCAGCCATGGGTGTGCAACATCCTAAATTGTCAGAAAATTCAAAAATGGTGGTGGAAAATTGTGTTTCATGAAGAAAGTATGCATATTTTCCCCGTTTTTTCCGCCACCATTTTGGATTAAAATGATGCCTTCACAGCCTGAATGGAGGATGCTTTATGTACGAGCCGGTCCACAGGGGACACAAGTGTATTGCCGGTAATGCACATAATGCCTAGACGACAGAGCAGGCTGCCTAGGCTAGATCCAGTGTAGAGCTAGACATACAGAGACAGAGAGATATGGAGAACATATGGCCATATGGTTTAGGCCTACACTCTAAAGAAGGCTAGGTTAAAAACCAACCCAACTTGGATAATTTGGTAACCCAGTGCTGGCTAAATATTGGACAGAACACACGCTGAGTTATTTTGACCCAGCCAGCTGGGTTGCGCGAATAACCCAACAAGTTGGGTTGTTGGGGTTACCCAAACATGGGTTAATTTTACCGTCAATTGGGTATTTTTTACTCTCATGCTGGGTTGATTTAGCAGCTGGATCTTTTTGAATGTAATCCTAAAGTTATTTTCAGGAGGCATGGCTTATTAGGGGCGTGGCTTTCAGCTAGATCTTATTGGCCACTCGTGAGAGTAAATGTTGTTCCTGTTCATGTTAAGTTGACATTCTGCAAATTCTACATTTCCAGATTTCCTTTTTTGCGCTTTAGACATTATTCTGACCCGCTGGGTCATATCTCAATAACCCAGCACCAATAACCCAGCATCAATAACCCAGCTGTTTTTAAAGAAAACAACCCAACTAAGTGACCCAACGCCTGCAACCCAGCAGTTGGGTCAACCAAACAACACAGTGTACACTGTATGTTTGTGGGCAGGGTTGATTGGCTTAAGGGGACCAGAGCTGCGTCTAACATGTGTCAATCACTCCTGATCTTCATTCCTGTAACTGCTTTACATACAGTCCACTCATTAACTGGTATTTTCGAAGATGGTATAGATGGTAATAACATAGTAATTACCTAGTAATAATATTTTATATGGGATTCATTGAAGTAGACACCAGAAAGTACACATTGCTACCACGTAATTTCGTAGTAAATACCAGTTGAAATAGGACTATAAAATAAAGGGTGTTGTAATTGACTCAGGTGATGATGTGGCTCTGGATCCAGGTGGTGAACTTATTAACGCGGGTGTAGACGCCTGGTAGGCTGGGTCTGCCGCACCCCGCCCCCCAACTCACAATGCCTGTGAGGAACCATCGCCCCTCGGGGGCCCTGCACGACAGAGGACCCCCTGAGTCCCCCTGGGGAGGGCGAAAAGGTCACAATAAGGATTAGGGCCTATGGGTAAAGGGGATAAGGGCATACTAAGAATGAGGGCTAAATGGCACACTTAATGTAAAGGGCATAGGGGAATAAGAGCACACTAAGTTTGAGGGTGGTTGTTGACCACTCACCCTGCAGGCATCCTGCTGTCCAGAGGGGACTCCGGCACACAGCATGCGGGGCGAGATGGGGCCGTACCTCCTTTTACATTCACTCTGATCCAGGACGGACACCTCCGCCTTCTGTAACACTGTGGGAAGGGTCTTATCTGAGGAGAGAAGAGGGGAACATGATCTGCATGTGAGAGGCCTAGTATATCAAACTCTGCATATCCATGGTTCTGATGTACACATTGTTAGTCGTGGTTCTGTCTCTCACCCTCCTCAGAGCGGTACCCCCAGCCTGTGACCCAGCAGCGGTGTGCTTGTGTGAGGGTCTGTGAGGTGGCCGGCAGACACACAGGCTGGATGAGGGAGCTGAGGGAGGAGGGCCAGGGGTTCCTCAGCTGCAACAGGGCGATGTCATAGTCAAAGGTCAGCCCGTTGTAGTACTTGTGCACAACGATGCGCTGGATCTCTGCCACGTGCCTGGCACTACCCTGGGACAGCATTCCCAGGTGGGCGCTCCACTGGCGCGGGTCTGACAGCCTGGGAGGGTCAAGAGGAAGTGGTTAGAGGTCAAAGGTTATGGCTGAACAGGGAACATGTAAATAAACTTTATTAAATGAAGTGAAAAGCTCATTTTGTTCATTACTGTCATTGCCAGAGAAAAGTTGCATGTGGATGATGATGTTGGGCTGGGGTCAATCTGTTATCAGTGGTCAGTATGTACCTGGTCCACTTCTATTCAGTACAGTAGTTATAACATGGTCATTATGTGGTCAGTCAGTCTGTAGACTGCATACACACCTGTCCCTGCTGAAGCAGTGTGCTGCTGAGATGAGCCAATCAGAAGAGAGGACAGAGGCTCCACAGTACAGGTAGCCAGAGAAGTGCAAGCTGACCTGCCATGGCCACTCCCCCTCCAGGGCATTGACTCCACCTACCACCCGAAGACCCGAGGCCGAGTCCACTTTCTTCACAGGAGAGGGCCGGCCACAGGCTGTGATGCAGATCGTTAATAAAACTTTGGAAAATGTGTATATTATGTGTTTTTGTAGGAATATCTCAGTCTGTCTATCTGTGTATATAAATGTATGTTGGTGTGTGTGTATACATGTGTGTATGTGTATGTGTGTGTGTGTGTGTGTGTGTGTGTGTGTGTGTGTGTGTGTGTACAGCGACTGTGTGTGTGTGTGTGTGTACAGCGACTGTGTGTCTGTGTGTAGTAAAGTACAGTACACGTGTGCTGAGTCACTTCTATGACAGACAGGTCTGCCGCAGCCTTATTAAAAAGTATAGCTCTATGAGGTGTGTGTGTGATCAAAGCCTAGGCTGCTCCCATCACAGCATATTAACAGCTAACACAGAGAGCCAATACCATCACATCATAGAACACAGAGAGCCAATACCATCACACCATATTACCAGTAAACACAGAGAGCCATTACTATCACACCATATTACCAGTAAACACAGAGAGACATTACCATCACAGCATATAACACAGAGAAGACAATTAGCCATCACATCATATAACAACAGAGAGTAGCCATTGCCTATAACAGCATATTAACAGCTAACACAGAGATACCATTACCATCACATCATATAACACAGAGAGCCCATTAACTCATCAACACCATATTACCAGTAAACCCAGAGAGCCATTATCATCACAGCATATTAAGCCAGTAAAACACAGAGGAGTCATTACCCATCACACCATATTAGCCAGTAAACACCGAGAGCCATTACGATCACAGCATAATTAACCGCTAACACAGAGAGCCATTACCATCAGCATCATATAACACGGAGAGCCCATTACCAATAAATAATCAATAATATAAAATCATTGGCCTTTAGCAGATGCTTTATCCAAACGACTTACATCATGCGTGCATACTTTTGTAATGTTATATTACAAAACACACGCTGCAGCATATAACAGAGAGCCATTACCATCACAGCATATACCACAGATAGCCATTACCATCACAACACATATTACCAGCAAACCCGAGAGCCATTATCAAACCACAGCAATTACCAGTAAACACAGAGAGTTCCATTACCATCACACCATATTACCATAAACACAGAGAGCCATTACCATCAATCAGCATATTACCAGTAAACACATAGAGTCATTACCCATCACACATATTACCATTAAACACAGAGAGCCATTACCATCACAGCATATAACACAGAGAGCCATTACCATCACATCATATAACACAGAGAGCCATTACCATCACATAATATTACCAGTAAACACAGAGAGCCATTACCATCACATCATATAACACAGAGAGCCATTACCATCACAGCATATTACCAGTAAACCCAGAGAGCCATTACCATCACAGCATATTACCAGTAAACCCAGAGAGCCATTACCATCACACCATATTACCAGTAAACACAGAGATCCATTACCATCACATCATATAACACAGAGAGCCATTACCATCACAGCATATAACACAGAGAGCCATTACCATCACATCATATAACACAGAGAGCCATTACCATCACACCATATTACCAGTAAACACAGAGAGCCATTACCATCACAGCATATTACCAGTAAACACAGAGAGTCATTACCATCGCACCATATTACCAGTAAACACAGAGAGCCATTACCATCACAGCATATTACCAGTAAACACAGAGAGTCATTACCATCACAGCATATTACCAGTAAACCCAGAGAGCCATTACCATCACAGCATATTACCAGTAAACACAGAGTCATTACCATCACACCATATTACCAGTAAACACAGAGAGCCATTACCATCACAGCATATAACACAGAGAGCCATTACCATAACATCATATAACACAGAGAGCCATTACCATCACTCATATTACCAGTAAACACAGAGAGCCATTACCATCACATCATATAACACAGAGAGCCATTACCATCACAGCATATTACCAGTAAACCCAGAGAGCCATTACCATCACAGCATATTACCAGTAAACCCAGAGAGCCATTACATCACACCATATTACCAGTAAACACAGAGAGCAATTACCATCACATCATATAACACAGAGAGCCATTACCATCACAGCATATAACACAGAGAGCCATTACAATCACATCATATAACACAGAGAGCCATTACCATCACAGCATATTACCAGTAAACACAGAGAGTCATTACCATCACACCATATTACCAGTAAACACAGAGAGCCATTACCATCACATCATATAACACAGAGAGCCATTACCATCACAGCATATAACACAGAGAGCCATTACCATCACATCATATAACACAGAGAGCCATTACCATCACAGAATATTACCAGTAAACACAGAGACCCATTACCATCACATCATATAACACAGAGAGCCATTACCCAAATCACGGGAAATTGATAAAACACAGGAGCCATTACCCTACAAAAAGTAAACAGAGACCCAAAATTTATAAAATCACGGGGCCCAAATTTTCCCAAACCATAAACAAGGAGCCATTCCATTCCCTTTTATAAACACAGAAGCCCTTCCCATCACAATTTTAAACAGTAAACAAAGAAGCATTCCCATACCCAATATTACCAGTCCAAAACATTACCAATCCCGAATTAAAAACCCAGAGAGCCTTACCCACATAATAACACAGGAGCCTTTCCCCATCACATATTATTAACCAGTAAACCAGAGGCCATTACCTAAATAAAACACAGAGAGCCATCCCTCAAAACATATAAAACCCCAGAAGCCATTACCCCACCCAAAATATTACCAGTAAAACCAAGAGCCATTCCCAACAACATAAAACGGACCTTTCCATCAAAACAATAAACCCGGGACCCAAACCACCCCAATTTTCCCCAATAAAAAAAGATTCCAAAAAAAATACCAGTAAAAAGAGAGCCATTACCTCCCTTTTAAACCAAGATTTCCCCACCAATTTCCATAAACCCGAGACCTTTTTCCATCACACATATTACCAGAAAACCCAAGAGCTTCCCATCCACAATTACCAGTAAACCCCAAGGATTCCCTCACATATTCCCCCTTTTCCCAATCAACCACACCCCCAAATTCCTAAACACAAACCCATTAATCACAAATAAACAAAACCATTACCATCACAAATAAACCCAAAGAAAGCCATTCCCATCCCCCCCCCATATCCTAACACAAACCCCATTACCATCACAAACATATTCCCCAGAAACAACAGAGACCCTTCCTCCTTTTTCCCCTTACCCTTTCACGGAAATTTTCCCCCATTTCAAAGGGCATTAACCACCCAAATTTTAAAAAAAACCGGGACCCCTTCCTACACATTTTTTCACAAAGAAAAAACCATCAAGCATTTTAAAAAAAAAACCCCTTACCAATCCTCTATAAAGAGGCCAAAAACCACCATATTACCAGTAAACACAGAGAGCCATTACCATCACAGATTTTTCCCAAAAGAGACCCAACCATCCGCATTTTACCAGAAAACCCAAGAGACCCCTTTACAAAAATTTTAACAGTAACAAGGACCCCTTACCTCCGCATATTACCATTAACACAAAAAAAGAGACCTTACCATAAAGCATATAACAGAGAGAAATTACCTACATCATAAACAGAGAGCCATTAACCAAAGAAATTTTCCCCCGTAAAACAGAGAGCACATCCACATATAACACGAGACCTTACCCATCACGGCATTTTGAAAAAAGGGGCCCCTTTAACACAAAATCCCCCTTACCATCACAGCTTTAAAACGAGACATTCCCCACACGCTATAAACAGGAGACATTCCCATAAAAAATAAACACAGGGGCCTTACATCACCATTTACCAGTAAACAGAGAGCCAACCCCCCATCCCACAAACCCTTTACCAGGTAAACACCCAAAGAGAGCCTTTACCATCACAGCATATTTTCCCCAAAAATAAAAACCCAGAAGCCTTACCACACAGCAATCCCAGTAACCCCAGAAGTTCCCACCACCAATTACCAGTAAACACAAAAAGCTTACCATCACACCAAATAAAAAACAGAAGCCATTACCATCACACATAAAAACACGGAGCCTTTTTACCATCAAATAACAAGAGACCCTTTCCCATTACAATATAACCGGAGCCATTACCATCACACCATATTACCAAACCGGGAAGCTTTTTACCATACGCATTTACAGAAAACCCAGAGAGCTTACCATCCCCCACCCATTTTAAAAAACCCAAGAGCCATTACCACACACAATTTTTAAATTCCAAGAGCCATTACCTCACATAATAACACAGAGACCATTACCATCAACAATTACCAGTAAACCCCCAAAGCCTTCCTTTAAACAGCATTTTACCGTAAACCAGGGGCAACCATCACCATAAAAAACACGAGAGATTCCCATCACGCAATAAAAAAAAGCTTACCATCAATCATATAACACAGAGAGCCAAAACCATCACAATATTACCAGTAAACACAGAAGCCATTCCATAACATATTAAATAAAAAAAGGAGCTCCCCATCAAAAACCTATTCCAGTAAACCAAGACCTTTCCCATCACAGCATTAAACCAGAAACCCCCCCCAAAAAAAGAAGCCTTCCCATCACAATTTTCCCCATAAACACAAGACCCATTACCATCAAAATTTCCAGTAACACAGAGAGCCCTACCATCACGGGAAGTACCATAAAAAAAAGAGCCATTACCATCAAATATTACCAGTAAAAAAAAAACCATTCCCATCCATATATAACACAGGGGAAACCCAAAGAAAAGCGGGGGCCATTACCATCACACCATTAAAAACCAGAGAGCCATTACCATAAACCGGACCCTTTACCACACAGAAAAATAACACAGGAGAGCCATTACCATCACATCATATAACACAGAGAGCCATAACCATCACAGCATATTACCAGTAAACACAGAGAGCCATTACCATCACATCATATAACACAGAGAGCCACTACAATCACACCATATTACCAGTAAACACAGAGAGCCATTACCATCACAGCATATTACCTGTAAACACAGAGAGCCATTACCATCACAGCATATTACCTGTAAACACAGAGAGCCATTACCATCACAGCATATTACCAGCTAACACAGAGAGCCATTACCATCACAGCATATAACACAGTGAGCCATTACCATCACAGCATATAACACAGAGAGCCATTACCATCACAGCATATAACACAGAGAGCCATTACCATCACAGCATATAACACAGAGAGACATTACCATCACATCATATAACACAGAGAGCCATTACCATCACAGCATATTACCAGTAAACACAGAGAGACATTACCATCACAGCATATAACACAGAGAGCCATTACCATCACGGCATATTACCAGTAAACACAGAGAGACATTACCATCACACCATATTACCAGTAAACACAGAGAGACATTACCATCACAGCATATAACACAGGAGACATTACCATAACATCATATAACACAGAGAGCCATTACCATCACACCATATTACCAGTAAACACAGAGAGTCATTACCATTACATTTACATTTTAGTCATTTAGCAGACGCTCTTATCCAGAGCGACTTACAGTTAGTGAGTGCATACATTTTTCATACTGGCCCCCCATGGGAATCGAACCCACAACCCTGGCGGTGCAAGCGCCATGCTCTACCAACTGAGCTACAGGAGGCCATCACAGCATATTACCAGTAAACACAGAGAGCCATTACCATCACAGCATATTACCAGTAAACACAGAGAGCCATTACCATCACAGCATATTACCAGTAAACACAGAGAGCCATTACAGCGGGGGCAGCTACAGTACCCTATTAAATAACTGCAGCATAATGAAAATACACAGGGTCAGACAGAGGTTCACACAAAGCCGTGTGGGGATTATTTGGGGCTGGCTAGACTGACTGAAACTGCAGATAAGTGGTAGAGATTAAAGTGGTTGAGATTCAAGGTTTGATCTTTTTATATATATATATATATATATATATATATATATATAGAGAGAGAGAGAGAGAGAGAGAGAGAGAGAGAGATAGAGAGAGAGAGGTTTAGTTGCCATAAAATGGTATGTGTTCACGCTGTAGTTGAGATGAACCAAATGAATGGTTATGTTGTGGTTGAGTTGTGGTTGTGTTCCGGTTGAGGACTCACCACAGTCCCTCTCGTCACTGTGGTCTGTGCAGTCGATGATTCCGTCACACCTGGCGTTCTTCTTCAGGATGCAGGACCCACTGTTACACCTGTACCTGATGTCAGAGCAGTTCGTCTCTGTACAACACCAGGGAACACACACTCAGTATACTAGCAAGTGATACTAGCAAGAGCAGTGATACTAGCATCAGCAGTGATAAGGATAATAATAATAATAATAATAATAATAATAGCAAGAGCAGTGATACTAGCAAGAGCAGTGATACTAGCATCAGCAGTGATACTAGCAAGAGCAGTGATACTAGCAAGAGCAGTGTGCGGGTTTCTTCTTTTTTCTCAAACACTACATGACCAAAAGTATGTGGACACCTGCTCTTCGAACATCTCATTCCAGAATCATGGGCATTAATATGGAGTTGGTCCCCCCTTCGCTGCTATAACAGCCTCCACTCTTCTGGGAAGGCTTTCCACTAGATGTTGGAACATTGCTGCGGGGACTTGCTTCCATTTAGCCACAAAAGCATTCCTAAGGTCGGCACTGATGTTGGGCGATTAGGCCTGGCTTACAGTTGGCGTTCCAATTCATCCCAAAGGTGTTCAGTGGGGTTGAGGTCAGGGCTCTGTGCAGGCCAGTCAAGTTCTTTCACACCGATCTCGACAAACCATTTCTGTATGGACCTCGCTTTGTGCACGGAGGCATTGTTATGCTGAAACAGGAAAGGGTCTTCACCAAACTGTTGCCACAAAGTTGGAAGCACAGAATCATCTAGAATGTCAGTGTATGCTGTAGCATTAAGATTTCCCTTCACTGGAACTAAGGGGCTTAGCCCGAACCATGAAAAACAGCCCCAGACCATTATTCCTCCTCCATCAAACTTTACAGTTGGCACTATGCATTCGGACAGGTAGCTTTCTCCTGGCATCCACCAAACCCAGTTTCGTCTGTCGGACTGCCAGATGCTGAAGCGTGATTCATCACTCCAGAGAACGAGTTTTCACTGATGACGCTTGGCATTGCACATGGTGATCTTAGGCTTGTGTGCAGCTGCTCGGCCATGGAAACCCATGTCATGAAGCTCCAGATGAACAGTTATTGTGCTGACGTTGCTTCCAGAGGCAGTTTGGAACTTGGTAGTGAGTGTTGCTTCAGCACTCGGCGGTCCCGTTCTGTGAGCTTGTGTGGCCTACCACTTTGCAACTATGCCGTTGTTGCTCCTAGACGTTTCGACTTCACAATAACAGAACTTACAGTTGACCGGAGCAGCTCTAGCAGGGCAGAAATTTGACGAACTGACTTGTTGGAAAGGTGGTATCCTATGTCACTGAGCTCTTTAGTAAGGCCGTTCTACTTCCAATGTTTGTCTATGGAGATTGCATGGCTGTGTGCCCGATTTTATACACCAGTCAGCAACGGGTGTGGCTGAAATAGACGAATCCACTCATTTGAAGGGGTGTCCACATACTTTTGTATATATAGTGTGCACACATATAAAAACAGGATAGGATTCCTTTCTACCCAGAGTGCAGTTGGTTTCGTCCCTGCCGTCGATGCAGTCTCTCTCTCCGTTGCACATGTACAGTGGGTGAAGAGGACTGGAGCCTCCACAGTTCTTACTAGGCCTTGCTGAAAGGGAAAATATACATTTAAAGGAATATATCAGTTTATAACAACAATTTTGCTGATGTCAATACTGAAGTTCTAGCATTTATGCTGCTGTTGTTAATTCCTGTTTACATACCGCAGAAGACCTCGTCACTCTCATCCTGACAGTCGTCCAGACCATCACAGCGCCGGGTCTTCTCCACACACAGCCCTGTGGAGCACAGGAAATGGCCCTCTGCACACGCTGGGGGAGACAGGGGTGAGGGAAGGGGGAGACAGGGGTGAGGGAAGGGGGAGACAGGGGGAGGGAAGGGGGAGACAGGGGGAGGGAAGGGGGAAAGAGAGGGAGGGAAGGGGGAAAGAGAGGGAGGGAAGGGGTAGAGAGAGAGAGGGAGGGAAGGAAGGGGGAGGCAGGGGTGAGGGAAGGGGGAGACGGGGGGGGGACAGGGGGAGGGAAGGGGGAGACAGGGGCATAGTAGGAGAGAGAGGTGAGTGTGCAGTGTGGTTCTTCTACTGTCTCAGGACTATGGTAGTGAAATTAAAATGAATACAGAAATTAACAAGATGCAGATTCAGTGAAGGTGATGGGTAAGGAAGTAGTGAGAGATGGAAGGAAGCAAGATAGAGAAAGAGGTCCTAATGAAGTTCTTACGTTGGCTGATGTTGAAGCTACTGGATTCGGCCTGGAAGGGCTGGTCAGAGCTCCGGGAGCTGCTGCGGAACTCCACCTCAGCGTTTTGGTCAGGGATACGGAACACTGTGGTGTGGCCTATGTAGCTGCCGCAGTATCTATGGACACCAGCACACAATCAATCAATCAAATAACGAACCAATCTGGAAATCAATCTGTCCATTGGTTCTGGATATGGGACACAAAATACACATACATTAAAACAGACAGTCATGCACACACACACACACACACACACACACACACACACACACACACACACACACACACACACACACTTACATTATCTCCTTGACCTTCCACCAGCCATGCTCACAGGCCGTTATGTCCTTCAGCTTCAGGACATAGTTCTGGAACTTCAGAGCTACTCCCAGAGCACTGTGGGGGGTCTGTGGACAACAACACATGAAGCCTGTTGACGTTTCATCAATATAAGTAAATGGGGTGAATGTGAGCTAAAAATACTTAAATACCTTAAACCTCCATGTGCAGGAGCACTGAGGGGGCAGTAGGCTGGGGTAGAAGGGACTGGAGATCTGACCAGAGAAACCTGGCTCTGCCTGGGTCTCTATGTCAGTCACACGTTCTGGTAGGGAGACACACAGCAACGAGATAAAATACCAGTCTGTCAGTAGGAGAGTATTATTGTGAGAGAATCTGTCTTACGTTCCTCAGCGATGGCCTGGAAGTGTCCTCTGAAGTTCTTGTTGCCCTGGGTCATCCTGAAGGACAGCAGCATGACGTTGGACGTGGAGACCAGAGACAGGGACTGGGACACCGGCTCACACACCCTACAGGACATGGACAGTGTTAGAGACTGTTCAGTCGGTCGGTTGGTCGGAGTTCTGTCAGTCTGTCTATGTATCTCTGTCTGTCTATTCACTATTCACACACCCGTAGATCCATTCATCCACAGTCACACTGACTCACCTGTAGAGAGTGCGCCCCCTCATGGGCAGCAGGGCGTCGTACACGGTGAGGGCGTCGCTGACACAGTCGCTGGGCTCAATGAGCAGGGATGTAATGGTGAGGCGGATCAGAGAGTCAGGGGTAGACGTCAGCTTGACGTAGCAGCTCAGACCTCCCCATGATGAGTAGACGTTTAGGGGAACACTGGAGCCTGGCAGGCTGGCATATAGCTTGTCCACACACTGAGAGCCTGGAGCACAGAGGGAGGGAGGGAGGAGGGCTTTGGCTTCAACTCTCACTGTACCACAGCCATGCTAATAAGTATGAACATAGTGAACATAATGTGGCAAAAAAACTAACTGATTCATTGACTTAACTCACCTGCTGCAATTGATGTGTAATCTGATCGTAGAGCAGCTGAGGAGGAAAAAATAACATCAACAAAGGATATATTGAGATCACACAAACCTACCCCACAGACATACACACTCACCATTAACGAGTATGGAATCTATATCTACGGGCAGGGTCAGAAGGTACCCTATAGAGGACCTGTTCTTCAGGCTGGTGAGGACTGAGTCTCTGAGGATAGCTCCTACACACTCCTCACACACGGCTGGAGTCTTCAGGCTCGGCACCACAAACACCATCCAGAAATGCACCAGCAGACCACCCTTGTTATCACTGTGAGGAGAGAGAGAAAAATATATATGTGTGCAAGGGTTTGTTCCAACCAAACACTATAACATCTGATTCAACCAATCAGTGACTGATTCACAGTGTACCTGAGGTCTGATATGGTGGTGAGTTTGTAGAGTTTAGACACTGAGGACATTCTGTACACACTGCTCACCTGTGGGGGGATACTATTAGTCACCATGAACATAATGAAGGACTTTTATTTCTACCCTATAGATGTAGCTGAGAGCTCCAAGCTTAGGGTGTGTATTTGTTCAGTGTATTTGACCAGTGCTGAAAATAGTAAATCATCTCACACTCACCACGTGCTGTATCTTGTTTGCCATGGAAACAAACTCATGGGACTCTGCCTGGCGGTATTCGGGGATAAAATCTACATTGGCAACACGGAACATTCCGGCAAAATACACTCCGCTGTTGCTCTCCCTGCGAACTGAGAATAAATATACAATGTAATTAACTATTCAATCAATAATTAAATCAAGAAGATTTAGAGAACTAAAATATTTGTGAAAATGTGTGCATGTGAGAAGGATGTTGTGTTTGAGTCTCCCTGTAAGTTAACTCACATATGAAGACCCAGAGCAGTGACCACACAATGACCACGACCACAAACACGACCACGGTGATCAGGATGGTCAGGTTCTGGAGGTTCCACAGAGGAGCCCAGCTCTTCCTGGGCAGCTGGGTCCTGATGCGTGACATACGTCTGGCCCTGCTGCGGGCGTTGTACCTCCTACAGAGCCCCTGGAGGGTGTGGTCCACCGTGGCCACCTCCACAGACACATCCTCAACCTGGAGATCATACAGGAACATCACATGCAATATAGCACATCAGCAACATGTAGTAGCAACAACATCATTGCATCCGCAATCTAGACATCCTTTTATTTCCCCACACTGCAAAACACCATAACATAAGAAGACCGGTTCTTTCAAATAGAGAATAAAGTGCCACTGTCTTGGTGGGCCAGTATACTGTAAGTCACCAACACTCTCAACACTAACCAAATGCAGATTGAACATATGTGTTGTATTGTATCATCAACAGAGCACAGACTGTTTAATGTATGCAGTATGTATGCTAATCAACCACAGATATCGTGGCAACAAATGGTGTTTGATTACAGTTACAGTGGTTAGTAGATGCAAATGAAATTGGCATGGATCCAACTAGGTCTTCCCGAGACTTTGTGATCAAATGGGTATTAAATGTTTTTCTCAAGGAAGGCCTTATAAACAGGACCTGTGACTAATACTGCTCTTGGGGACTGGAGGGGCAGAAAACAATGATCAAGTAAAGCAGGGATATGGTGGGGAAGGAAGGACTGGTCAGATGGCCTATGTACGGAATATTTCCATTTTTACCCGTGCGTAATGGCGGTACAGGGAAAACTGGAGTCGAATATTGAAAGTAGTAGGGGAGTGAATGTTGCATGGAGAAAATCGGACCTCTCAGAAATGAAAACGGATGGCCCTCCCTTCAGCTAAATATATCTAACCTAAACCCTCCCTGAATGCAAAAAAAATAGAAAAAAAAGTGGATAGCAGAGAATATGTTTACCGTTTACCCTCAATTCTTGGACAGACCAGAGCCTTAGATATGCAGTTTTTAGAAACTGTTCTTCGTCCAGTAAGCATTATATGGCAACGGAGGAATTTTGATAGTGCACAAGGCTGCAGGCCAGAAGGTTGTGGGTCCGTAGAACCCCATGGACAAGAGTAGGAGTGGAAAGATCTCCTTTATAGTAAAAGCATTGCATGAATCTATCATCATATTTGCAGGTCCGAGAAAAATTTGCCTTTTATAAACATTTCATACAATTCTACGTCATTTTACATATTAGCGGGAATATTTTTTAATACCACACAAATGACAGAAATGACAGAATGGACAGAAATAGGCCTACATGCTATTCCTATCATATTCTCCAATGCCAAATCAGTGTGTCTTGTTTGCAACGAAACTGTCCCTGTTTGCAAATAATTAAATCTGAGATATCATTAGGAATCTGAACATAGTACTTTGAAAAGTTAGGCCTACTTTTCCACGTAGACAGAGTAGACCTACCGACACAGAAACATTTAAGCTTTAACTGCTGGCTATTCTTCCATGGCTTAACCCAACGACAGAAGGTCACAAGTGTTTCCCTAAAAGCTGTCTGGGTTTAAACATATATTGTACAGAAAGTTAATTGTTTAATCAATTGGTAGTGACAGAATTAGATTATGTCCCAAGCAACATCCATTTTTTGTCTACTCAGTTATAGAAGGTTGTAGCTCAGCCTCTGAATTTCTGATTGATTGTGCCGCAGCTGCTGCTTCAAGTTTCAGCACCACAATGTAAATTACTCAAATCTGGCTTAATGTGAGGTCAATAACTATGATAAAAAGGCCTACATCATGGGCAAGAATCATATTGTTTTTAATCAAATCTATTATAGTAGCAGCAAGGCTAGTCCACATGCATTTTTTGGACAAGATGTAATCAAAACATTTTTCGGAAGAAGCCTTTGACTCTCCTCCTGAATGGCCCCTGTAGGCCTACACAGCATAACCATTGGTTAGGCAGCACACAAAACAGTTTTTGATCAGCAAGAGCAGAGCAGACCAGGGCTCAGGGTTGGAATAGCCATTGCGGTGTGTAATGCAGCCTAGTTTTATTTACACCATCCCAGCAGCTATCTTAGAAATATAACTTTGCTCTCTGCTTCTCCTAGCATGCACTTCGTAGCCTATAGGCTATGGATCATTTGATTGAGGCCACACTAAATAGCAAATAGCGGAGAATCAGAGATGAGGGGTGGCATCGGGCACCCATCGATATATAACCTAATAAGCAACTAATACTAAAACACTGAGAAATACAGAAATGTCATCAATTACAAATTACATGACTCTACCCTGGACTAGATTTAAAAAAAGAATAAACCCTCCCCTTGACTGAAATTGAAAAAGCATGACCCTCCCCCATTTTCCTCCAGGTACCCACTATGTAAATGTCGATCATATGGAGAAAAAAAAACATATGTAACATGCATGAGGTGGTACCGATATGTGGTCTGTTTTAATGTCTCAGGTCATGGCGAGGCGCCCAGTAACCCCATCCGCTCCAAAACGCTCTGCATTATTTATATGGTGTCATCCCATCCTGTGCGCAGAACTTAATCCACCATGAGATAAATGGGGGTATAAATTCTCTCCATGGAGACGAAAATGGAAACGACTATAGCCGCGGGAAGTAGGGGTGCTGCAGCACCCCCTGAAAAAACTGAATTTAAAAAATATATATTAATAAAAAAATATATATGTATATATAAACACTACCATTCAAAAGTTTGGAGTCACTTAAAAATGTCCTTGTTTTCCATGAAAACATACATGAAATGAGTTTGAATAGGAAATATAGCAAAATGTATAGGAAATGTAGTCATTGACAAGGTTAGAAATAATAATTGTGTCCTTCAAACTTTGCTTTCGTCAAAGAGTCCTCCATTTGCAGCAATTACAGCCTTGCAGACCTTTGGCATTGTAGTTGTCAATTTGTTGAGGTAATCTGAAGAGATGTCACCCCATGCTTCCTGAAGCACCTCCCACAAGTTGGATTGGCTTGATGGGCACTTCTTACGTACTATACTGTCAAGCTGCTCCCACAACAGCTCAATAGGGTTGAGATCCGGTGACTGTGCTGGCCACTCCATTATAGACAGAATACCAGCTGACTTCTTCTTCCCTAAATAGTTCTTGCATAGTTTGGAGCTGTGCTTTTGGTCATTGTCCTGTTGTAGGAGGAAATTGGCTCCAATCAAGCGCCGTCGGCAGGGCAGGGTATGGCATGGCGTTGCAAAATTGAGTGATAGCCTTCCTTCTTCAAGATTCCTTTTACCCTGTACAAATCTCCCACTTTACCACCACCAAAGCACCCCCAGACCATCACATTGCCTCCACCATGCTTGACAGATGGCATCAAGTACTCCTCCAGCATCTTTTCATTTGGTCTGTGTCTCACAAATGTTCTTCTTTGTGATCCGAACACCTCAAACTTCAATTAGTCTGTCCATAACACTTTTTTTTCCAATCTTCCTCTGTCCAGTGTCTGTGTTCTTTTGCCCATCTTAATCTTTTCTTTTTATTGGCCAGTCTGAGATATGGCTTTTTCTTTGCGACTCTGCCTAGAAGGTCACCGTCCCGGAGTCGCCTCTTCACTGTTGACGTTGAGACTGGTGTTTTGTGGGTATTATTTAACGAAGCTGCCAGTTGAAGACCTGTGAGGCGTCTGTTTCTCAAACTAGACACTCTAATGTATTTGTCCTCTTGCTCAGTTGTGCACCGGGCCTCCCACTCCTCTTTCTATTCTGGTTAGAGCCAGTTCTGCACTGTTCTGTGAAGGGAGTAGTACACAGCGTTGTACGAGATCTTCAGTTTCTTGGCAATTTCTCGCATGGAATAGCCTTCATTTCTCAGAACAAGAATAGACTGATGCGTTTCAGAAGAAAGTTATTTGTTTCTGGCCATTTTGAGCCTGTAATCGAACCCACAATTGCTGATGCTCCAGATACTCAACTAGTCTCAAGAAGAAGCCAGTTGTATTGCTTCTTTAATCAGCACAACAGTTTTCAGCTCTGCTAACATAATTGCAAAAGGGTTTTCTAATGATCAATTAGCCTTTTAAAATGATAAACTTGGATTAGCAACCACAACGTGCCATTGGAACACAGGACTGATGGTTGCTGATAATGGGCCTCTGTAAGCCTATGTAGATATTCCATAAAAAATCAGCCTTTCCAGCTACAATAGCCATTTACAACATCAACAATATCTACACTGAATTTCAGATCAATGTGATGTTATTTTAATGAACAAAAAAATTGCTTTTCTTTCGAAAACATGGACATTTCTAAGTGACCCCAAACTTTGAACGGTAGAGTATATATATATATATATTTTTTTTTCTCACAAAAGTAGTACACTGGGCATTTACTAGTCCTGTATTAGTGGACCGATATATCCTTCTGTAGCACAGCTAAAAAAAAAAATACAGCGCCGCAATATATCTCCGTTTATTGCATAAATCGTGCATACATTGGGCTGCAATTATGGTGCGGTAAAATAATCAATTTTAATGAATGACAGTGTAGGCTAATCCAAGTGTAGGCTATGACACAATGTAAATGGAGAAGGCTAAAACGTGGTCAACGGCAAATCAAAATAGTGGCAGAAGTCTCCGGGTGAACATCTCCATGGTGCTGTCATTCAAGGTCCTTTATTTACCCTGTTCATAATGAGCACAGGATGGTTGCATTTTGGCTTCTGCAGTGTGTAGCGCAGAAAATATGTACATGGCGTCATCATTTCCTCAATGTTTGTACCGACAGATGTAGTCTATTGAATAACCTATCATGGCTCTCCAATACTGTTCCTAGAGTACTACCATCATGTAGGGGTTCACTCCAACCCCAGTTGTAACTAACCCGATTCATTTTATGAACCAGCTAATTATTACAATCAGGTGCGCTAGATTAGGGTTGGAACAGGAACAGGGTTGGAACAGGACCAGGGTTGGAGAGCCCTGTTATAAAATCTGCATAAAATGCATCCTCAAATTGCAACGTCTGCCTATGCCCACACAGAAGTAATCCTTCTACCCCCCCCTAAAAAAATAATATATATATATATATATATTGTAAAAGTGGTAATCCCACTGGCTATAGGGTGAATGCACCAATTTGTAAGTCGCTCTGGATAAGAGCGTCTGCTAAATGACGTAAATGTAAATGTAAATGTAAATATTGTCTCAAGAAAATGTTATATTTTTAATACCCTCAAAACACCAAATAGGCCATTATCACTGGCAATTGTGAATGATAATTATTCACGTTTTACCGGTGAAACCCCATCTGCATGCAAATCATTTGATTGATCTCAATCAGTTTAATGGGAATAGCCTAGGCATTTCGATCATCTTGAATTACTGTTTCGTGAGCGAATTAGAGCAGATGATGTTAACACATTTTTAGCCTATCTTGTATTTTGTTTCAATCAAAGCATATTGGCTCTGAGTGGCTCAGAATAAAAGAAAACAGAGGGCTTAGCTATACATTTACATTTTACATTTACGTAATTTAGCAGACGCTCTTATCCAGAGCGACTTACAAATTGGTGCATTCACCCTATAGCCAGTGGGATAACCACTTTACAATTATTATTTTTTATTTATTTATTTTGGGGGGGGTGGGGGGTGGGGGGGTGGGGGGGTGGGGGGGTAGAAGGATTACTTTATCCTATCCCAGGTATTCCTTAAAGAGGTAAAGCTATCAATTCATATAATTTATTTGCATAGATTTAGTCATTAAATCAATTGACCAAGTAGTGAACATAAATCATTACTACACATAATTGCAGGAAATTTGTTTTAAAATAGCCATACAATATTTTGGTGTGGTGTATTCATGCAACTCAATTAACTATAAACTAAATGCATTACTACCTCCAACTTGGCCCAATTCACATTTCCAATTTCCCACCCTGACATAGCCTACCCTAACGGCCCTGCGTCTCAAACAATAGTAAATATAGGCTAGAGCCTTCCCAAGCAGGGCTACAGCAAAGTCTCTTGGGCTTTACTGTGGACACTGGTTTGGGTGACCTCAGCAGAACGGTGTCGCTGTAACCAAGTGGTCACATATCTTTCTGGGTTGCGTTACACACACACACACACACACCCCGGAGTCAGTCACACACTGTAAACGCATTTATTCTTAGTGAATGTCCTAAAACCTATGTGTTCTATTTAAGTACTTAAAGCTAATTTTATGTTGACAAAACGTGCGTTATCATTCGAACGCATAGGCTTCTCGGGTGATATGGCATCACAATGACCTTCTACTTGTCATTTAGACCTAACCTGTTTTGGTTGTTAAAAATTCAAATTATTCCCATTCACCTACAGTCGGTAAAAACATTCCAATAATATGCTATACTTACACTAGCACTGTCCCCGGCATTCCCATCGTTGTCATCTCCGCCCGTCAGCTCGCGCTCTGTCCCCATGACACCGGCACAGGGACATTACCTCGCGCCTCTCATATCATCCGCACGTTCGCTTCAGAGTGAGATCTGTCATTTCTACTGTTCCACTCTAAAATGTCAAATATAAAGATGGAAAAAGCAGCACCCCTGTGTACTGGTTAAACCGTGCTGCTGTGGGGCGTCTCACTATCTACCCTGAGCCGCCAGGTGAATGTAACCAGATCCGACAGCACAGGTGAGGAAGCAGCGACTAGCTGGGGCTCATTCAGGGTTTCCACTAGTTACCACAGCCACAAAGTCAAAATATGGCTATATCATAAGAATTAATGAAAACAAACATTTGCTTTTTGGTCTTAATTTAAGGTTAGGGTTTGGTACAGTGGTCCTCTGTAGCTCAGTTGGTAGAGCACGGCGCTTGTAACGCCAAGGTAGTGGGTTCGATCCCCGGGACCACCCATACACAAAAATGTATGCACGCATGACTGTAAGTCGCTTTGGATAAAAGCGTCTGCTAAATGGTATATTATTATTATTATTACATTGTAGAAATGACTTTGTGGCTGTGGTAACTAGTGATGACCCTCATTCAGTGGGATGATGGCGAGAAGCTGTCTCCGCACCACGTGCTCTCACCACTGGTGTCCCCCAGGGCTCAGTTATAGGCCCTCTCCTTTTCTCCCTATACACCAAGTCACTTGGCTCTGTCATATCCTCACATGGCCTCTCCTATCATTGCTACGCTGACGATACACAACTAATCTTCTCCTTTCCCCCTTCTGATAACCAGGTGGCGAATCGCATCTCTGCATGTCTGGCCGACATATCAGTATGGATGACGGATCACCACCTCAAGCTGAACCTCGGCAAGACGGAGCTGCTCTTCCTCCCGGGGAAGGACTGCCCGTTCCATGATCTCGCCATCACGGTTGACAACTCCGTTGTGTCCTCCTCCCAGAGTGCGAAGAGCCTTGGCGTGACCCTGGACAACACCCTGTCGTTCTCCGCCAACATCAAGGCGGTGACCCGATCCTGCAGGTTCATGCTCTACAACATTCGGAGAGTACGACCCTGCCTTACACAGGAAGCGGCACAGGTCCTAATCCAGGCACTTGTCATCTCCCGTCTGGATTACTGCAACTCGCTGTTGGCTGGGCTCCCTGCCTGTGCCATTAAACCCCTACAACTCATCCAGAATGCCGCTGCCCGTCTGGTGTTCAACCTTCCCAAGTTCTCTCACGTCACCCCCCTCCTCCGCACACTCCACTGGCTTCCAGTTGAAGCTCGCATCCGTTACAAGACCATGGTGCTTGCCTATGGAGCAGTGAGGGGAACGGCACCTCCGTACCTTCAGGCTCTGATCAGTCCCTACACCCAGGCGAGGGCATTGCGTTCATCCACCTCTGGCCTGCTGGCTCCCCCTTCCTCTGCGGAAGCATAGTTCCCGCTCAGCCCAGTCAAAGCTGTTCGCTGCTCTGGCACCCCAATGGTGGAACAAGCTCCCTCACGACGCCAGGACAGCGGAGTCACTCACCACCTTCCGGAGACATTTGAAACCCCACCTCTTTAAGGAACACCTGGGATAGGATAACGTAATCCTTCTACCCCCCATCCCCCCCCCAAAAAAAGTATAATTGTAAAGTGGTTATCCCACTGGCTATAGGGTGAATGCACCAATTTGTAGTCGCTCTGGATAAGAGCGTCTGCTAAATGACGTAAATGTGCCCTTGAGCAAGGCACTTAACCCTAATTGCTCCTGTAAGTCGCTCTGGATAAGAGCGTCTGCTAAATGACTAAAATGTAAATGTAAATGTAATGATGTTGATATGATTCATATGATTACAGCAGATGTGTTACATTTCCTCAGTAACCTAAGCACCAGGTGGGTTTGCTTGAAAATAAAGTCTGATCATTTGTTTGGTGGAATAAGACAATTCTGTTCCAATTGAGAGAATATTTTCTCACAACCAACCAATAAAATGATTGAGAAATGCACTACTTGTATTTGGTACTTTTTGTAACATAGTTTATTTACAAAACAGTGTTAACAGGGTTACTGCATGTGTGAATGTGTGTGTGTAGACTGTCCTCTGGGCATTCAGCTCTCAGAGGAGCCACTTGTGCCTTCACTAGCAGTCTAACTCCAACAGGGTCCAGCCTCAGAGAAATGAACTAAAACCAAGGTAGCAGGTGAGTACTCAACTCCTAATTGAAAAGCTAAAATGTGCTGTACATCAATGTCATAATTACATTAATACAGGTTTCTGCTGGGCGGTTGGGTATTAAGGAATCTCGGACCTACAAAAGCAGCATCTTTACCACACCAGCAACATGAGGGAGACAGTCTGTATGTATATTAACACTTACGGGAAGTCCAGGCACATATTTGAATAGACACAAATAGAAACCAGACAGATATATAACGCAAGACCCAAACAAAACATATACACACTTTAAGAGGCACACAAACACATTGATAAAACATACATTACACAAAGTAGTACGTGCACAGATACTGTCCTGAAATATGTAGGTCCATAATTGTTTTGTTTTTCTCTGAGTCCTCAGGGAGAGATCCTCACTTCCTGAACAAGGCGTGTCGGGTGACGGCGTACCACAGGTGGGAGGGCTTTCGCTTGGGCTCGGCCAATGTGAACACCTGCTGCTGAGGCACGCTGGTTGGCACAGTAACATGGCGCTGGTGAATTGGATGCAGGGGTTGGTGCTGGTGGTGTGGCGGGGCAGAGCCAGAGTAGCCTATGGCTGAGAATAAACAGTTTTTAAAACATTATTTGCAATACTAAGAGTATTTCACTGATTCCAACACCACAGCAATTGTAAGAACACAAAAGTATGATTGATTGCTTACTCTTCATTTTCCCTTGTTTGGATTTTCTTGCATTGAAGATTGCTTGTTTTCTCTGTGTTTCACTGATCTTCATTCCTGTCATGAATAAAAAGATAACAGTCAACCCAATGTCATTCAACATGCACTTACTTACATGTTCTCCTCTTGTTTTAGGTTTTATTTATTCAAAACCAAAGACAAGTGAAAGAGAAAACAGTGCAGATAAAAACAGTTTACAGGTGAGGTTGGAAACACAAAAGGGCTTATATGAAAACCACACTCCCCAAAAAACAATAATATATATATATATATATATATATATATATACACACAGCTCAAAAAATTTAAGGGAACACTTAAACAACACATCCTAGATCTGAATGAATGAAATAATCTTATTAAATACTTTTTTCTTTACATAGTTGAATGTGCTGACAACAAAATCACACAAAAATTATCAATGGAAATCAAAAAACCCTCAAAATTAAAGTGGAAAACCACACTACAGGCTGATTCAACTTTGATGTAATGTCCTTAAAACAAGTCAAAATGAGGCTCAGTAGTGTGTGTGGCCTCCACGTGCCTGTATGACCTAACCCTACAATGCCTGGGCATGCTCCTGATGAGGTGGCGGATGGTCTCCTGAGGGATCTCCTCCCAGACCTGGACTAAAGCATCCGCCAACTCCTGGACAGTCTGGGGTGCAACGTGGCGTTGGTGGATGGAGCGAGACATGATGTCCCAGATGTGCTCAATTGGATTCAGGTCTGGGGAATGGGCGGGCCAGTCCATAGCATCAATGCCTTCCTCTTGCAGGAACTGCTGACACACTCCAGCCACATGAGGTCTAGCATTGTCTTGCATTAGGAGGAACCCAGGGCCAACCGCCCCAGCATATGGTCTCACAAGGGGTCTGAGGATCTAATCTCGGCAGTCAGGCTACCTCTGGCGAGCACATGGAGGGCTGTGCGGCCCCCCAAAGAAATGCCACCCCACACCATGACTGACCCACCGCCAAACCGGTCATGCTGGAGGATGTTGCAGGCAGCAGAACGTTCTCCACGGCGTCTCCAGACTCTGTCACGTCTGTCACATGTGCTCAGTGTGAACCTGCTTTCATCTGTGAAGAGCAAAGGGCGCCAGTGGCGAATTTGCCAATCTTGGTGTTCTCTGGCAAATGCCAAACGTCCTGCACAGTGTTGGGCTGTAAGCACAACCCCCACCTGTGGACGTCGGGCCCTCATACCACCCTCATGGAGTCTGTTTCTGACCGTTTGAGCAGACACATGCAAATTTGTGGCATGCTGGAGGTCATTTTGCAGGGCTCTGGTAGTGCTCCTCCTGCTCCTCCTTGCACAAAGGCGGAGGTAGCGGTCCTGCTGCTGGGTTGTTGCCCTCCTACGGCCTCCTCCACGTCTCCTGATGTACTGGCCTGTCTCCTGGTAGCGCCTCCATGCTCTGGACACTACGCTGACAGACACAGCAAACCTTCTTGCCACAGCTCGCATTGATGTGCCATCCTGGATGAGCTGCACTACCTGAGCCACTTGTGTGGGTTGTAGATTCTGTCTCATGCTACCACTAGAGTGAAAGCACCGCCAGCATTCAAAAGTGACCAAAACATCAGCCAGGAAGCATAGGAACTGAGAAGTGGTCTGTGGTCCCCACCTGCAGAACCACTCCTTTATTGGGGGTGTCTTGCTAATTGCCTATAATTTCCACCTGTTGTCTATTCCATTTGCACAACAGCATGTGAAATGTATTGTCAATCAGTGTTGCTTCCTAAGTGGACAGTTTGATTTCACAGAAGTGTGATTGACTTGGAGTTACATTGTGTTGTTTAAGTGTTCCCTTTATTTTTTTGAGCAGTATATATATATATATATATATATATATATATATATATATATATATGTTTCAATCAGTTAAACAAAGCATACTAATTATAATTGTACATGATAGACTCAGTATACAAAAAAACTAACATTGTTTTTGTGTGTGCATGAGTGAGTGTGTGTAAGAGTTAGGCTACATGGAGGAGACATGGGAAACACCTTTCCCATCTTCTCAACAACCCCTCTTCTAGTCTGCTTCCATTTCCTCTTCCCTCCTCAGTCTCTCCTTCCCACTCCTTCTCACCTATCTCCTGGTCCTCCTGTACCCTCCGTCTCTCCCTAGCAAAGGCCTGCAGCCAGCGATGTCTATCCTGGGGCTTCCTGCAGCAGAGGTAACACAGGGTCTCCAGGGTGGAGCTGTTCCGGAGCCGCAGGGCGTTCCTCAGCGAGATGCCCAGCTCGGGGTCCCTGCCGTCGGGCATCTGCAGCACCGATGTGTGGTCCATATCTAGGCGGCCGCGGTAGTGCAGCAGGTCGCGGCGCAGCACGTCCTTCTTACAGAACACCAGCTGGTGGTCGAACAGGAAGAAGCTGCGCTGCTGCGTCTTGTTGCCCTGCCGGACGATCCGGGTGAGTTCTCCAGAGTGGATCAGCTCCGAGCTGCGCTCCAGGACATCCGTTCCCTGGGAGAGACCACACACAGACAGGGAGGGGGTGAACCAGAATCTGGGCAGCGGAGACGACAATAAATATGACTCGTCTCCTCTCTAGCCCAGTTAGCTACCATTCATTTTCCCATTAGACAGCTCTGCAAGCGTTGTCAAAATACGTTAGTTACTCACCAAATATGGAGTTTCGCAGAGCAACTATCGTCATTTACTGCAGTCACACCCAGTATGTACTTCCAAAAAAAGGTCTACACAAAAATGTACATGTGCCAAATCCACCTCTTCCGAAAGATCTCCAAAAACATACCCTATATGGTCTACTTAATCTACTTGCATTAAATATTATTGCATTCCATGTAGCACATTGTGAAACAACAGGTTGATGACATTCATACACTATTGTAGATGATAAAATCAATGATCTTTAGTGATAGTGTACTGCTGCTGGATCAGCCGACCTGTACATGGTAGTACTTTTACTGTACATGGTAGATTTTATTGGTGGTACCGAAGAGGTGATTTGGCGCATGGTCAAGAACAATACTGAGATTCTTTCCAGACAAGACAATTTCTTTGGTTGCTTGTACATTTTTATTTAGACCCTTTTTTGGAAGTACATACCGGGCGTGACAGCAGTAAATGACGATAGTTGCTCAGTGAAACTCCATATTTGGAGAGTAACTAACGTATTTTGACAACGCTTGCAGAGCTGTCTAATGGGAAAATGAATGGTAGCTAACTGGGCTAGAGAGGAGACGAGTCATATTCATCGTCTCCTCCTCTGCCCAGATACTGGTTTAGAGAGGGGGTTGCATTTTTCAGATCATTGATTGAGTCAGTGCTATCTGGGATCCTTGGGAAGTCTACCCTAAACCCTAACACGTAACTATTTTAAATGTCAACTTCAATGGGGTAGGGACGTCCCAAGGAACCCGGTTAGCATGGACCCATCTTAAATGACACCTTACGTCCCACACTGTGTACCACTGAGTACAGGAGACGAGCACAAGGTCTAAATGGTTTTCGATGCAAATGGAAATGCAAAGCCTTAACATAAACACTGTAATAGCCATGTAATAATATGGTTGTAACACGATTCTGCTACAGTAACGATAATGTAATAATGTAGTGAGGAGCCTCACCTCCCAGCGTAGGATAGCCACCTGCCAGTGAGCGATGGCATCGATACTCTCCAGCCTCCTTTTCCCCTCGTTGATCAGGCTCGCCACGTTCTTCATCGCCTTGTACGCGTCACTCACTCCACCGTAGTCACTACAGCACACAACATCAACAGCATTGGAGTGTGTGAAAAGGTTGCCGTGTGTATACGTGTGTGTGTGTGTGTGTGTGAGTGGGTATATGTTGTGAAGTTTGTAAAGAAAAAAATAAAAGTGGCCAGTGTGTGTTGTGACTTACCTGTGGTCTTTGGGGGTGTATTTGAGCAGCTCTCCCAGCTGCAGGGGGTACTTGCAGATCTTCTGGACGGGCGTGAGCAGGAAGCCGGCGATGGAGATGTCAATCATCTGCTGCAGCAACCGGCAGGCCTCAAAGAAGTGCTTGTACCTGCCCAGCTTCATGAGGCGCTGCAGCTCCCCACACGCTGCAGGGTGGGTGTTACAGTACTCAGAGTAGATGGAGAAGCCCTCGCCCTGAGAGAGAGGAGGATGGGGGGGTGAGTGAAGAGGGAGAGAGTGGGTAAGGAAGGAAAGAGGGGGGGTGGGGTGGGTGAGGAGGAAAAGCGGGAGGGAGAGAGGAGGCGAAATAGTTAAATACCAAAAGGGGATGTGACTGCGTTGAAATGTATACTGTGTAATGTATTCAGGGATCAAAAAGATAATGGTATGGAAAAACGCTGGATCCAATTCTGAAAAAAGTGTGTGTGTGTGACGTGTGTGTGTGTGTGTACAAAGGGTATAACGTACCTGTAAGAGGAAACAGGCTCCTATCTCACTGAGGTGAGGCTGGTCTGTGTTGTACTTCTTCTCCAGGTCTTTGAGGAACTGTCTCTGGAACTTGTAGATGTCCTCGATGTTACTGAAGATAGTCTTCAGCTGCAGCTCAGTGAACATGCCCGGGTGTTTACGACACTGACGGATATAGCCCTGGGAAAAGCATTAGACATTTTCTGGCTTAAGTGGTGGGCGTGGCAGGGGCAGGGGCGTGGTCAATGGTGTGGTCGCCGATCAAACATGTTAGAGGCCCTCCTGTTGGCCGCAGTGACAAAATGTAGATGTTTTAAAGCTAATTTGTACAATTATACACATTTTGCCATGAGACAGAGAAAATGTGCAGTTTTAAAACTAATTTCCTGCAATTCTACACATTTCACCATGGCTTATGCTATCTGAGCGAATCGAACAAACAAAATCAATGGGGGCCCCATGCCATGACAGAAATACTCCTAAATGCATAATTTTTTTAAATTTTAGATTCTCCCCGACTGTCTAGCTTTTATTTTGGTGATTGTTAGTTCTCAAAGATGATCTTATAAAAAAAAATACAGTACCAGTCAAAAGTTTGGACACACCTACTCATTCAAGGGTTTTTCTTTATTTTGACTATTTTCTACATTGTAGAATAATAGTGAAGACATCAAAACAATGAAATAACACATTTGGAATCATATATTAACCAAAAAAGTGTTAAACAAAACAAAATATATTTCATATTTGAGATTCTTCAAAGTAGCCACCCTTTGCCTTGATGACAGTTTTGCACACACTTGGCATTCTCTCAACCAATTCACCTGGAATGCATTTCCAACAGTCTTGAAGGAGTTGCCATATATGCTGAGCACTTGTTGGCTGCTTTTCCTTCACTCTGAGGTCCAACTCATCCCAAACCATCTCAAATGGGTTGAGGTCGGGTGATTGTGGAGGCCAGGTCACCGGATAAAGCACTCCATCACCTCTCCTTCTTGGTCAAATAGCCCTTACACAGCCTGGAGGTGTGTTTTGGGTCATTGTCCTGTTGAAAAACAAATTATAGTCCCACTAAGCGCAAACCAGTTGGGATGGCGTAGCTCTGCAGAATGCTGTGGTAGCCATGCTGGTTAAGTGTGCCTTGAATTCTAAATAAATCACAGACCGTGTCACCAGCAAAGCACCCGCACACCATCACACCTCCTCCTCCATGCTTCACGGTGGGAACCACACATGCGGAGATCATCCGTTCACCTACTCTGAATCTCACAAAGACACAGTGGTTGGAACTAAAAATCTCAAATTTGGACTCATCAGACCAAAGGACAGATTTCCACAGGTCTGATGTCCATTGCTCGTGTTTCTTGGCCCAAGCAAGTCTCTTTTTCTTATTGGTGTCCTTTAGTAGTGGTTTCTTTGCAACAATTCGACCATGAAGGCCTGATTCACACAGTCCCCTCTGAACAGTTGATGTTGAGATGTGTCTGTTACTTGAACTTTGTGAAGCATTTATTTGGGCTGCAATCTGAGGTGCAGTTAACTCTAATAAACTTATCCTCTGCAGCAGAGATAACTCTGGGTCTTCCATTCCTGTGGTGGTCCTCATGAGAGCCAGTTTCATCATAGCGCTTGACGGTTTTTGCGACTGCACTAGAAGAAACTTTCAAAGTTATTGACATTTTCCGGATTGACTTTCCTTCATGTCTTAAAGTAATGATGGACTGTCGTTTCTATTTGCTTATTTGAGCTGTTCTTGCCATAATATGGACTTGGTCTTTTACCAGATAAGGCTATCTTCTGTATACCAACCTTACCTTGTCACAAACGCATTAAGAAAGAAAGAAATTCCACAAACCATGTATTTAGATTGTAGGTAGGTATTGTAGTTAGGTATTGTAGGTAGTTTATCTAGGTAGTTATTGTAGGTAAGTATTGTATTCGGCTGAGCCCGGTGAAGCACGAGGCTAGCTAACCCACTGCCTGGACCAATAAAGCTAGCTAGCTAGCGGGTAGCTACTGGTAACTATTAGCAACTGTGGATGTTATTTCACGCTTAAGAGTATCTGTAATTATGCCAGCTAGCTACCTACCATTCAGCTGTTTTTCTAACCTCATTATCTGAAGCGTTAACGTTAGGTAGTTAGTAGCTACTGTACTTGAAATGTAGCTAGCTTGTTGCTACCTGGATAGCTAACTAAACAATAGCTGGAACGACCTAGCTGTAATGTTTGGAGACGCTTTCTCTCCGTTGGGACAGACGCAAACTGGCTAAATCGATTCAGTAGCTAGCTTTACACTAGGGTAAGTTATAACCTACATTTATTTTTATTTTATTTTTACATACTGGTAACCAGAGTCGTTCAACAGGAATTCAAGACATGGGTGACTAGTTAACGTTAGCTTGGCTCTCTCTGTGTGTTTCGTTGACAGAGAGCAATGGCTAGCTAATATGCGAACTATTCTAGCTAGCTAACTAACTGGCTGAATAAGTTGACGATGTACTCACTCAAACTGTCAAAACTAACCCCAAAACTTTACACAACGTTAGACACGGACACGAATGATCTGTTTAGCGTGTTAACACACTATTGGTAGTTTGTTGTAACCGAGTATTGGTGCTAAACCGTGTTATTGGAAGCTAGCATGCTAGTTAGCTATGGCGTCATAGGATACGGTGCCCTGGGCGGTTTTCACGGAAGAATACTGTACCAAGTCAGCTAGCTGAATAAACTAAGTTAGAGTCTATTCCTAGAAAACATTGAACCGCTGTAGTTTACAACAATTATAATTTCTAAAGTGGAAGTTGGGAGAGTTATATTTGAGTGTTTCCGTGAAAAGTAAGTGAGGGAGGCCCCGCTTTCCCAGATGTTTAGTTAATTTCATTCCGATCTCCTTTGCATTATTGTAGCCTTTTCTGTAGCCTGTGAACTATGCGTCTGTCTATCCCCGTTCTCTCCTCTCTGCACAGGCCATACAAACGCTTCACACCGCGTGGCTGCTGCCACTCTAATCTGGTGGTCCCTGCGCGCACGACCCACGTGGAGTTCCAGGTCTCCGGCAGCCTCTGGAACTGCCATTCTGCGGCCAACAAGGCAGAGTTCATCTCAGCCTATGCTACCCTCCACTCCCTCGACTTCTTGGCGCTGACGGAAACATGGATTACCACAGAAAACACTGCTACTCCTACTGCTCTTTCCTCATCTGATCATGTGTTCTCGCATACCCAGAGAGCATCTGGTCAGCGCGGCGGTGGCACAGGAATCCTCATCTCTCCCAAGTGGACATTCTCTCTTTTCCCCCTGACCCATCTGTCTATCTCCTCATTTGAATTCCATGATGTCACAGTCACTAGCCCATTCAAGCTTAACATCCTTATCATTTATCGCCCTCCAGGTTCCCTTGGAGAGTTCATCAATGAGCTTGACGCCTTGATAAGTTCCTTTCCTGAGGATGGCTCACCCCTCACAGTTCTGGGTGACTTTAACCTCCCTACGTCTGCCTTTGACTCATTTCTCTCTGCCTCCTTCTTTCCACTCCTTTCCTCTTTTGACCTCACGCTCTCACAAGGCTCACGCTTGACCTCATCTTTACTAGATGCTGTTCTTCTACTAATCTCACTGCAACTCCCCTCCAAGTCTCCGACCACTACTTTGTATCCTTTTCTCTCTCGCTCTCCTTCAACACTACTCACTCTGCCCCTACTCAGTTGGTAATGTGCCGTCGCAACCTTCACTCTCTCTCTCCCGCTACTCTCTCCTCTTCCGTCCTATCATCTCTTCCCTCTGCTAAATCCTTCTCCCTCCAATCTCCTGATTCTGCCTCCTCAACCCTCCTCTCCTCCCTTTCTGCATCTTTTGACTCTCTATGTCCCCTATCCTCTTGGCCGGCTCGGTCCTCCCCTCCTGCTCCGTGGCTTGACGACTCATTGCGAGCTCACAGAACAGGGCTCCGGGCAGCCGAGCGGAAATGGAGGAAAACTAGACTCCCTGCGGACCTATCATCTTTTCACTCCCTCCTCTCTACATTCTCTTCCTCTGTTTCTGCTGCTAAAGCCACTTTCTACCACTAAATGTCAAGCCTCTGCCTCTAACCCTAGGAAGCTCTTTGCCACCTTCTCCTCCCTGCTGAATCCTCCTCCTCCCCCTCCCTCTCTGTGGATGACTTCGTCAACCATTTTGAAAAGAAGGTTGACGACATCCGATCCTCATTTATTAAGTCAAATGACACCGCTGGTCCTGCTCACACTTGTGACGGCCGGCCGCCCAACAACCTGCCCGCTTGACCCTATCCCCTCCTCTCTTCTCCAGACCATTTCCGGAGACCTTCTCCCTTACCTCACCTCGCTCATCAACTCATTCTTGACCGCTGGCCATGTCCCTTCCGTCTTCAAGAGAGCGAGAGTTGCACCCCTCCTCAAAAAACCTACACTCGATCCCTCCGATGTCAACAACTACAGACCAGTATCCCTTCTTTCTTTTCTCTCCAAAACTCTTTAGCGTGCCGTCTCTAGCCAACTCTCCTGCTATCTCTCTCAGAATGACCTTCTTGATCCAAACCAGTCAGGTTTCAAGACTGGTCATTCAACTGAGACTGCTCTTCTCTGTGTCACGGAGGCTCTCCACACTGCTAAAGCTAACTCTCTCTCCTCTGCTCTTATCCTTCTAGACCTATCTGCTGCCTTTGATACTGTGAACCATCAGATCCTCCTCTCCACCCTCTCCGAGTTGGGCATCTCCGGCGCTGCTCACTCTTGGATTACGTCCTACCTGACAGGTCGCTCCTACCAGGTGGCGTGGCGAGAATCTGTCTCTGCACCACGTGCTCTCACCACTGGTGTCCCCCAGGGCTCAGTTCTAGGCCCTCTCCTATTCTCTCTATACACCAAGTCACTTGGCTCTGTCATATCCTCACATGGTCTCTCCTATCATTGCTACGCAGACGACACACAACTAATTTTCTCCTTTCCCCCTTCTGATAACCAGGTGGCGAATCGCATCTCTTCATGTCTGGCAGACATATCAGTGTGGATGTCGGATCACCAGCTCAAGCTGAACCTCGGCAAGACGGAGCTGCTCTTCCTCCCGGGGAAGGACTGCCCGCTCCATGATCTTGCCATCACGGTTGACAACTCCATTGTGTCCTCCTCCCAGAGTGCAAATAACCTTGGCGTGACCCTGGACAACACCCTGTCGTTCTCCACTAACATCAAAGCGGTGACCCGATCCTGCAAGTTCATGCTCTACAACATTTGCAGAGCACGACCCTACCTTACACAGAAAGCGGCACAGGTCCTAATCCAGGCACTTGTCATCTCCCGTCTGGATTACTGCAACTCGCTGTTGGCTGGGCTCCCTGCCTGTGCCATTAAACCCCTACAACTTATCCAGAACGCTGCAGCCCGTCTGGTGTTCAACCTTCCCAAGTTCTCTCATGTCACCCCGCTCCTCCGCACACTCCACTGGCTTCCAGTTGAGGCTTGCATCTACTACAAGACCATGGTGCTTGCCCTACGGAGCTGTGAGGGGAACGGCACCTCCTTACCTTCAGGCTCTGATCAGACCCTACACCCAAACGAGGGCACTACGTTCATCCACCTCTGGCCTGCTAGCCCCCCTACCTCTACGGAAGCACAGTTCCCGCTCAGCCCAGTCAAAGCTATTCGCTGCTCTGGCACCCCAATGGTGGAACAAGCTCCCCCACGACGCCAGGACAGCGGAGTCACTGACCACCTTCCGGAGACACTTGAAACCCTACCTCTTTAAGGAATACTTGGAATAGTATAAAAGTAATCCTTCTACCCACCCCCCCCCATAAAAAAAAAAAGTGGTTGTCCCACTGGCTATCATAAGTTGAATGCACCAATTTGTAAGTCGCTCTGGATAAGAACGTCTGCTAAATGACGTAAATGTAAACAAGGCACACCTGTTAATTGAAATGCATTCCTGGTGACTACCTCATGAAGCTGGTTGAGAAAATGCCAAGAGTGTGCAAAGCTGTCATCAAGGCAAAGGGTGGCTACTTTAAAGAATCTCAAATATATTTTCATTTAACACTATTGGTTACTACATAATTCCATGTGTTATATCATCGTTTTGATGGCTTCACTATTATTCTACAACGTAGAAAATAGTCAAAATAAAGAAAAACCCTTGAATGAGTAGGTGTGTCCAAACTTTTGACTGGTACTGTATATAGGTCCATTAACCTCTTAAGGATCTGACCCTTTTTTCCCAATTTTTGCCTAAAATGACATACCCAAATCTAACTACCTGTAGTTCAGGACCTGAAGCAAGGATATGCAAATTCTTGATACCATTTGAAAGGAAACACTTTGAAGTTTGTGGAAATGTGAAATTAATGTAGGAGAATAACACATTAGATCTGGTAAAAGATAATACAAACAAAAAAACATGCATTTTCTATTTATTTATCTTTGAAATGCAAGAGAAAGGCCACAATATAATATTGCAATTTAGATTTTGGCCACTACATGGCAGCAGTGTGTGCAAAGTTTCAGATTGATCCAGTGAAGCACTGCAATACTGGACTATTTTGTATCAAGTCTGCCCAAATTGGTCAATTGATACATTTTGAAGTACCGTACATAACTATAGAGAACATACAAAAATGATATGGTAATACAAAATGTAAGTTTACACACTCCCAGGAATGTCATACATGATGGGTCATTAACTTATACACTAACTTTCACACATCTAGATGGCCGGGCGGGGTGGGTGTGGAGCCAGAGACAGCAGGGGTTCAAACTGTAGAACCCAGTTCCTACATTTGAATATAAAAATGGATTTTATCAAACAAAACTATGCTACATTTTATCATTGGGCATCTCAGTATGACAAATCAGAGCAAGATTACTGAATGTAAGTACATTATGTACCTTCAGAGGTGAATATATCAACCCAGTTGCCGTGATACGTTTTTTGTTGTTGTGCACTCGCCTCAAACAATAGCATGGTATGTTTTCACTGTAATAGCTACTGTAAATTGGACAGTGCAGTTAGATTAACAAGAATTTAAGCTTTCCGCCCATATAAGACATGTCTGTCCTGGAAAGTCTGCTGTTACTTACAACAGTCATGCTAATCACATTAGCGCACGTTAGCTCAACCGTCCTGTATACGGGACACCGATCCCGTAGAGGTTAACTTTTCTACATACTTCATATCTGGTTTTAGTCGTTTAAGTTAACACTGAAAAAACTAACACTCAATACTTTTCTATGCAGAAAGAACCGCTGACATAGATGTGTTCAATGCAAGGTTTGACCAGCAGGGGGAGCCAATTGGCAGAAAAGCTGGTGGAAATCCAGAGCCGTAGTTGTAATGTCAGTGATGATGGAGGAAAGAGAACGGTTAGGGTCGGTTAATGTTTGTGGTTGTGGTCGAGCTTCCACCCACCTCACAGATGTCCCGGAGATGTTTGATGTAGATGCGTTCAGTGTTCATGATCTCTTTGACCACATTAGTCCTCATCTGCTCGCGGTGCTCTGCGCTGTGTGTGTGAGTGTGTGTGTCCCGGGGGGCAGTGTGTGGGTCCTCTTGGTCCAGAGCACAACTCTCTACACTCTCCGCTCCTGAGTCCTCCTCCTGGTTCACACGCACCTGTCAAATCACACACACACACCCACGTTACCAGGGCAACCACAGAGTCACAGTCCACCTAGTTAACTAGCACCTACAAATTAAACTTAACCCAACCTACATCCCTATGGTAACATTGGAAACACCATGTATGGTTAACAAGCCCCTGTCCGTCAACAACAATCACCAATAGGGGCAATTACCAAGCGGTCACCTACCTGTCAATTAACTGGCCTCGCCATGGTTACCATAGCTTGCCTTATTAAGACTCAACTGTCAATCAACACAAGTCACCAGGGAAACCACTGAAACCTCTGAACCCCTCAGCCCTTGAACACACACTACCAAGGGGCAGGGTTGGCACTAAGCCAGTTTCAGAGCCTTTGGCTGGGAGGGTCTACAGTAAACATAAATTACGCAGGGAGGTCAGTGTCCACTTTGATAAAACATGGATACTTCTTATATTTCAATGACCCAACTATCATGTCTTGTACAGACAGTTGTTTTGTTTGTGGCCCTTTTTTTTGTTGCTTTATGGCCTGATCTGTATCTTGGTGGGCCCCGTGTAGCTCAGTTGGTAGAGCATGGCGCCCACGGGGGGCCAGTATGAGAGAAAAAAAATGGAGGGAAAAAAATGAAAAAATGTATGCACTCACTAACTGTAAGTCGCTCTGGATAAGAGCATCTGCTAAATGACTAAAATGTCAAATGTGTTGTGTAAAAATAATCAATAAAAACATGTTGAAGAAATTGTGAATAATTTACTTTGATTTTTTTTTCTTTTCAATGCAACAGGGTTAGTGCACTAAACAGATTTATTGCGAATAAAAATCAGTGCGTGATGACGTAGTGCACACAAAATGCACTTTTTCACTTAAATTTTCATGTCCCGAATTAAAATCTAAAGTTTAATGTGTTTCCATCACATTTTCAACTCTACCGATACTTTTGTCACAAAAACTGTTGCGTTAAATAGCAAATGTGCCTACTCTGGTCTTGGTACCTGCGCTCTAGCCAACAGCTGGCAGATACAGTGCGGGTAGACTGTGTGGGTAGGCTAGTCTACATTATGAGATTATTATGGATAAGAGCAAGAATATGTTTATTTGTCAAACAGCAGTCAAGCATCTATCATCTTGTCACCAGAATAAGACCATTGATATTTATTGGAAAGGAGCATCAAGATCACCATGCACTTTCACCACCCTGTGAAATTCATCATAACTTATTTAAACTGTAGCCTAATAAACTACATGGTTTACCGCCATGTCTCGCATAGTACATTTTACCGACACAAAATGATCCCACCATGTCGAACAAATGATCTGCCGGCATTCATAAAATTGTACCGAAACTTCCTGTTTCCATCACAGCTGTCGTGATTCATTTTTTATACAGTATGACTTTACTCACATAAAAACTGTGGATGGAAAAGTGGTTATAGTGGTTTTACCCTGACGAAGCTAGAGGGGAACCAGGCCTCCCTGTCTGCCCCCATGCCCCACCACCAGTCCTTGTGAGGGGCCTCCAGCACCCGGATCACATCCCCCGCCTTGAACGCCAGCTCCTGCTCCTCCATCGTCACATGGTCCCACAGGGCCTCCGCATACACCGCTTGACCCTGGCTTATCCACTGACACACACACACACGAAGATAAAATACCCAATTACATACGTCAGACATGGCTGAAGATTTTCCAGTTAAAGAAATGAGAAGAGTCACATTATTCATTCCTTTCCCCCCTGATGTTTCTCTGTACTCAGAGTTACAGAGTCAGGGTTACTGAGTTATGTAATGACAGACACGCACAGATAAATACAGAATTACATGCACAGCATACTCATGTCCGACACACAGATTATGCTTGGACTTGGACACCAGAGCTGTGTCCAGATCAGTCACACACACACATAGAAATACACACATCAGGGATGACTTGGCAGAAACGGCATGTTGACTTGGAGAGACGTTACGTCTGTTGCTAGGAACGGTTGCAGAACATCGGCGTTGCTGAACACACTCTGCAGGTAAACACACAGGTAGGCAGCTCACCTGGCTGAGAGCAGACAGCTCCACCCCAGGCTGCAAGTACGTTGTGACATCACTGAGCTCATCAAAGCTCCCCTCCTCCTCACTCACACTGTCACCATCCACCGCTGCACAACACTCTGAGCCGGCATCTGCTTTGGGGAGGAGAGTACAGTTACACACATTAGACATGCTCACACACACAAAGAGGGTAAACACATACTTTTACTTTACACACTCACTTTCAAAGAGCTCTTCTGCTTTGCTGTTCTTTTACAGACAGTAGACCCACTCTGCCTCTCATTCACACACACACACACCCTCACCACTCGACCCCACTCTGCCTCATTCTCACACACACAGACATGCGCTCTCCATCTTTATTCCTCTCTTTCACACACAGACACACACACACCCTCACCACTGAGGACTCTGTGTAGTTTGCGTCGTCCGAGGTGGTCCAGTCCGATGGGGGTGCTCTGGGAGAAGGTTGAGGGGCGGAACCTGGCCGACACCGCTCTGTAGGGGGGCACCTGGTGGGATGGGACAGGGGGGCGCGACAGGGCCTAGAGGGACATGGAGAGGACAGTGTTCGGGCCTTTGGGAACATCCAGGGGTTTTGCATCTCAATCACAAACAGGGCATTATTTAACATACTGGGCATTTCCTCTGGAATACACTGTAACAGGTGGTATTATAAACGCAACATGCAACCATTTCAAAGATTTTACTGAGTTACAGTTCATATAAGGAAATCAGTCAATTGAAATACATTCATTAGGCCCTAATCTATGGATTTCACATGACTGGGAATACAGATATGTATCTGTTGGTCACAGATACCTTAAAAAAAAGTAGGGGTGTGGATCAGAAAACCAGTCAGTATCTGGTGTGACCACCTTTTGCCTCATGCAGCGCGACACATCTCCTTCGCATAGAGTTCATCAGGCTGTTGATTGTGGCCTGTGGAATGTTGTCCCACTCCTCTTCAATGGAGAAGTTGCTGGATATTGGCGGGAACTGGAACACGCTGTCGTACACGTCGATCCAGAGCATCCCAAACATGCTCAATGGGTGATATGTCTGGTGGGTATGCAGGCATTGAAGAACTGGGACATTTTCAGCTGCCAGGAATTGTGTACAGATCCTTGTGACATGGGGCCGTGCATTATCATGCTGAAACATGAGGTGATGGCGGCGGATGAATGTCACTACAATGGGCTTCAGAATCTCGCCACCGTATAGCTGTGCATTCAAAATGCCATCGATAAAATGCAAATGTGTTTGTTGTCTGTAACTTATGCCTGTCCATACCATAACCCCACCGCCACCATGCGGCACTCTGTTCACAACGTTGACATCAGCAAACCGCTCGCCCACACGACGCCATACACACGGTCTGCCATCTGCCCAGTACAGTTAAAACCGGGATTAATCCGTGAAGAGCACACTAATCCAACATGCCAGTGGCCATCGAAGGTGCGCATTTTCCCACTGAAGTCAGTTACGATACCGAACTGCAGTCAGGTCAAGACCCTGGTGAGGACGATGAGCAGGCAGATGAGCTTCCCTGAGACGGTTTCTGACAGTTTGTGCAGAAATTATTCGGTTGTGCAAACCCACAGTTTCATCAGCTGTCTAGGTGGCTGGTCTCAGACGATCCCGCAGGTGAAGAAACTGGATGTGAAGGTCCTGGGCTGGAGTGGTTACATAAGGTCTGCAGTTGAGGCCAGTTGGACGTACTGCCAAATTCTCTAAAACGACGTTGGATGTGGTTTATGGTAGAGAAATGAACATTAAATTCTCTGGCAACAACTCTGTTGGCCATTCCTGCAGTCAGCATGCATATTGCGGCATTGTGTTGTGTGACAAAACTGCACATTTTAGAGTGGCCTGTGTAATGATCATGTTGTTTAATTAGCTTATTGATATGCCACACCTGTCAGGTGGATGCATTATCTTGGCAAAGGAGAAATGCTCACTAACAGGGATATAAACTAATTTGTGCACAACATTTGAGAGAAATAAGCATTTTGTGCATATAGAACATTTCTGGGATCTTTTATTTCAGCTCATGAAACATGGGACCAACACTTTACATGTTGTGTTTATATTTCTGTTCAGTAATGTAACATACATACATACATACATACATACATACACACATATATATATATATATATATATATATATATATATATATATATATATATATATATATATATATATATATACACACACACACACACATCTAGCCATTGTTTAGAGGTGAGTTGCTTACAGAAGGCAGACTGTCCTCTCTCTCCTCAGCTCCAGGTGAAGAGTACAGAGCCACTCCTCCAATAACAGACGTGGGCCGTCTCCTCCGGCACTGGAGATCTCCATTCATATTGTAGTTCTCTGGGCTGTCTCTGTCCTGCGAGCCTCCATTGCTTTTGTAGTCCTGACAGGGAGTTCCATTTGTAGTCCTCTCCTTAGGATGTAGCTCAGTCTCCTCCTCGGGGATGGCGTACTTCCTGGCTACCAGCTGAGCGTAGTCAGAGATTGGCCGAGGCCTCGATCGGCCAGCCCTTCGCCTGGGGATGAAGGACGTGGACGTTTCTGTGGAACCTATTTTCATCAGTGACATGGGTGAGGTGGGAGACTCTGGGGGACATGTTGGTGTGAGAGAAGGGGTACCGGTGGCTGAAGGAGGGGGCGTCTCTTTACCCCCTAATAGTGCCTCTCTGCCCTGTTCGTCTAATGTACCCTGAAGGTGAGAGCAAAGGTGAAAGGTCAATGAGAAGCCCCACAATGTTTGCCTCTAACAAACATCTGCAGGAAAGAACGTCAATCAAAAACAGAGCATGCCGTTTAGTTGACGTGTCATTAATGTGGAAAGTTAGTACTAATGTGTTTGGACTCTGTAATATGGAATATATCTTTGCACATTATTTTCCCCCATATCACATTACCTCAAGAAATAAAAAGCTCTTATCAAATTGTATGTGTACACACAAGTAGGAGCGATAGCAGAGTACATATTTCTTTCTATTTAGGTTCCTGGCCATTTGAGAAATAGCGCAATGTTTAGTCTGTAACTGACCTGAAAGCTTACTACTGTAATGTGTACTGTTCTGGTTTAGGCTAGTTTGACATTGGTATTGGTTTGTCAGAAGAGAGAGGGGTAAATCCATTTGAATTCAATCACTTTTTGACAGCACCCCTTATAATTTGGACGAAACCTTCCATACATACAGTGCCTTCAAAAAGTATTCATACCCCTTGACCTTTCCACATTTTGTTGTGTTACAGCCTGAATTCAAAATTGATTAAATGTTTTTTTTATCTCACCCATTTACTACACACAATACCCCATATGATGACAAAGTGAAAACATGTTTAGACATTTGTACTAATTTATTGAAAATTAAATACAGAAATCTATTTTACATAAGTATTCACACCCCTGAGTCAATACATGTTAGAATCACCTTTGGCAGTGATTATAGCTGTGAGTCTTTCTGGGTAAGTCTCTACCAGCTCTCCACACCTGGATTGTACAATATTTGCCAATTATTCTCTTCAAAATTATTCAAGCTCTGTCAAATTGGTTGTTGATCATTGCTAGACAGCCATTTTCAAGTCTTGCAATAGATTTCCAAGCAGATTTAAGTCCAAACTGTAACTCGGCCACTCAGGAACATTCACTGTCTTGGTAAGCAATTCCAGTGTAGATTTGGTCTTGTGTTTTAGGTTATTGTCCTGCTGAAAAGTGAATTCATCTCCCAGTGTCTGGTGGAAAGCAGACTGAACCAGATTTTCCTCTAGGATTTTGCCTGTGCTTAGCGCCATTCCGTTTCTTCTTTATACTGAAAAACTCCCCAGTTCTTAGCGATTACAAGCATACCCATAACATGATGCAGCCACCACCATGCTTGAAAATATGGAGAGTGGTACTCAGTAATGTGTTGTATTGGATGTGCCCCAAACATAACACTTTCTATTCAGGACAAAAAGTTAATTGCTTTGTCAATCTTTTGCAGTATTACTTTAGTGCCTTGTTGCAAACAGGATGCATGTTGTAGAATATTTTTATTCTGTTAGGATTCCTTATTTTCACTGTTAATTAGGTTAGTATTGTGGAATAACTACAATGTTGTTGATCCATCCTCAGTTCTCTCCTATCACAGCCATTCAACTCTAACTGTTTTAAAGTCACCATTGGCCTCATGGTGAAACCCCTGACCGGTTTCCTTCCTCTCCGGCAACTATGTTAGGAAGGACGCCTGTATCTTTGTAGTGACTGGGTGTATTGATACATCATCCAAAGTGTAATTGATAACTTCCCCATGCTCAAAGGGATATTCAATTTCTGTTACAGATAATTGTATGTGTGGGGTACAGAGACGAGGAAGTCATTCAAAAATCATGTTACACACTATTATTGCACAGAGTGAGTCCATGCAACTTATGTGACTTGTTAAGCAACTTCTTACTCCTGAACTTATTTAGGATTGCCATAACAAAGGGTTTGAACACTTATTGACTCAAGACATTTCAGCTTTTCATTTTTTATTAATGTGTAAACATTTGTAAAAACATAATTCCATTTTGACATTATGGGGTATTGTGTGTAGGCCAATGACCAAAAATCTCAATTTAATCCATTTAAAATTCAAGCTGTAAAAAAAGATGTGGAAAAAGTCAAGTGGTGTGAGTACTTTGAGGGCACTGTATTTGCCAAATGTAGAAGTGCTCAGAAAGAAAATGTTTGGACCTGAATGCCAAAACATTCAAGAGATAAAGGTGTTCAAAGTTGACCCATTTTGCATACCCCACCATACTATGAGACATCCATGTCTTCATCACTGAAATTTTTTTTTTTAAATAAAAAAACAAAAAACTAAATATATATATATATATATATATATATATATATATATATATATATATACACTGCTCAAAAAAATAAAGGAAACACTTAAACAACACATCCTAGATCTGAATGAATGAAATAATCTTATTAAATACTTTTTTCTTTACATAGTTGAATGTGCTGACAACACAATCACACAAAAATGATCAATGGAAATCAAATGTATCAACCCATGGAGGTCTGGATTTGGAGTCACCCTCAAAATTAAAGTGGAAAACCACACTACAGGCTGATCCAACTTTGATGTAATGTCCTTAAAACAAGTAAAAATTATGCTCAGTAGTGTGTGTGGCCTCCACGTGCCTGTATGACCTCCCTACAACGCCTGGGCATGCTCCTGATGAGGTGGCGGATGGTGTCCTTAGGGATCTCCTCCCAGACCTGGACTAAAGCATCCGCCAACTCCTGGACAGTCTGTGGTGCAACGTGGCGTTGGTGGATGGAGCAAGACATGATGTCCCAGATGTGCTCAATTGGATTCAGGTCTGGGGAACGGGCGAGTCAGTCCATAGCATCAATGCCTTCCTCTTGCAGGAACTGCTGACACACTCCAGCCACATGAGGTCTAGAATTGTCTTGCATTAGGAGGAACCCAGGGCCAACCGTACCAGCATATGGTCTCACAAGGGGTCTGAGGATCTCATCTCGGTACCTAATGGCAGTCAGGCTACCTCTGGCGAGCACATGGAGGGCTGTGTGGCCCCCCAAAGAAATGCCACCCCACACCATGACTGACCCACCACCAAACCGGTCATGCTGGAGGATGTTGCAGGCAGCAGAACGTTCTCCACGGCGTCTCCAGACTCTGTCACGTCTGTCACGTGCTCAGTGTGAACCTGCTTTCATCTGTGAAGAGTACAGGGCGCCAGTGGCGAATTTGCCAATCTTGGTGTTCTCTGGCAAATGCCAAACGTCCTGCACGGTGTTGGGCTGTAAGCACAACCCCCACCTGTGGACGTCGGGCCCTCATACCACCCTCATGGAGTCTGTTTCTGACCGTTTGAGCAGACACATGCACATTTGTGGCCTGCTGGAGGTCATTTTGCAGGGCTCTGGCAGTGCTCCTCCTGCTCCTCCTTGCACAAAGGTGGAGGTAGCGGTCATGCTGCTGGGTTGTTGCCCTCCTACGGCCTCCTCCACGTCTCCTAATGTACTGGCCTGTCTCCTGGTAGCACCTCCATGCTCTGGACACTATGCTGACAGACACAGCATACCTTCTTGCCACAGCTCGCATTGATGTGCCATCCTGGATGAGCTGCACTACCTGAGCCACTTGTGTGGGTTGTAGACTCCGTCTCATGCTACCACTAGAGTGAAAGCACCGCCAGCATTCAAAAGTGACCAAAACATCAACCAGGAAGCATAGGAACTGAGAAGTGGTCTGTGGTCACCACCTGAAGAACCACTTCTTTATTGGGGGTGTCTTGCTAATTGCCTATAAGTTACACCTGTTGCCTATTCCATTTGCACAACAGCATGTGACATTTATTGTCAATCAGTGTTGCTTCCTAAGTGGACAGTTTGATTTCACAGAAGTGTGATTGACTTGGAGTTACATTGTGTTGTTTAAGTGTTCCCTTAATTTTTTTGAGCAGTGTATATATACACAGTGCCTTGCAAAAGTATTCATTCCCCTTGGCGTTTTTCCTATTTTGTTGCATTACATTATTTGGATTTCATGTAATGGACACACACAAAATAGTCCAAATTGGTGAAGTGAAATGAAAAAAAGAACTTGTTTCAAAAAATTCTAAAGAATAAATAACGGAAAAGTGGTGCGTGCATATGTATTCCCCCCCTTTGCTATGAAGCCCCTAAATAAGATCTGGTGCAACCAATTACCTTCAGAAGTCACATAATTAGTTAAATAAAGTCCACCTGTGTGCAATCTAAGTGTCACATGATCTGTCACATGATCTCAGAGTTTGCAACACCAGTAAGCAAGGGGCACCACCAATGAGCTCTCCAAACAGGTCAGGGACAAAGTCGTGGAGAAGTAAAGATCAGGGTTGGGTAAAAAAAAAAATATCAGAAACTTTGAACATCCCATGGAGCACCATTAAATCCATTATTAAAAAATTGAAAGAATATGGCACCACAACAAACCTGCCAAGAGAGGGCTGCCCACCAAAACTCACAGACCAGGCAAGGAGGGCATTAATCAGAGGCAACAAAGAGACCAATGATAACCCTGAAGGAGCTGCAAAGCTCCACAGCGGAGATTGGAGTATCTGTCCATAGGACCACTTTAAGCCGTACACTCCACAGAGCTGGGCTTTATGGTAGAGTGGCCAGAAAAAAAGCCATTGCTTAAAGAAAAAAATAAGCTAACACGTTTGGTGTTCGCCAAAAGGCATGTGGGAGACTCCCCAAACATATGGAAGAAGGTACTCTGGTCAGATGAGACTAACATTGAGCTTTTTGGCCATCAAGGAAAACGCTATGTCTGGCGCAAACCCAACACCTCTCATCACCCTGAGAACACCATCCCCACAGTGAAGCATGGTGGTGGCAGCATCATGCTGTGGGGATGTTTTTCCATCGGCAGGGACTGGGAAACTGGTCAGAATTGAAGTAATGATGGATGGCGCTAAATACAGGGAAATTCCAGCAGGACAATGACCCTAAGCATACTGCTAAAGCAACACTCGAGTGGTTTAAGGGGAAACATTTAAATGTCTTGGAATGGCCTAGTCAAAGCCCAGACCTCAATCCAATTGAGAATCTGTGGTATGACTTAAAGATTGCTGTACACAAGCGGAACCCATCCAACTTGAAGGAGCTGGAGCAGTTTTGCCTTGAAGAATGGGCAAAAATCCCAGTGGCTAGATGTGCCAAGCTTGTAGAGACATACCCCAAGAGACTTGCAGCTGTATTTGCTGCAAAAGGTGGCTCTACAAAGTATTGACTTTGGGGGGGGAATAGTTATGCACGCTCAAGTTCTGTTTGTTTGGTCTTATTTCTGTATTCAAGAGCATGCCGTGTCTCAACCGATGGCGGGCAGAACACAAAAACATCAGATGATGTGAAATAGGGTCTAAGCTACAACATATCAGAATATGAAAAGAATCGGCATTTACGCATTTTTAGATAATTGATGACGTTTTTATTTTATTTTATTAATAAAATAGTTTGACAACACTGTTTGTAAGCTTTTAAATGAGATCAAACTCAACCGTTTATCTTTTCATGGTAGGGTGGGGTATGCAAAATGGGTCAACTTCGAGCACCTTTATCACCTGAATGTTTTGGCATTCAGGTCCAAAAAGTTATTTTCTGACCACTTTTTCCATGGGCAAACATGTATGGAAAGTTTTGTTTAAATCAAAAGAGATGGTGTCAAAATGTGATTGAATTCAAATGGATTTACCCAGAGATGTCCCCTTACCTCCTGCTCCTCCTGATCTTCGTCTGGTCTGGTCCATATGCACTGGAAAGGTACACAGTGGATCAGCACCATGGTCAAACACCAACACACTCGCAGGCCTTTGTTCCGAGGCCTGGGTCTCTCTCTCCTTTAGTCCTCTACTGTATGTTCCCCTGCTTCTCTCTCTTCAACCAAAGTAAAGGAGCTCCTTCCCCTCATCTTATCAAATAAAAATCTGCCATCACGGTCCTCGATCAAATAAACCAGTCTTCTGATTGACCTCTAGTCCTCTAACAACCCAGTGTATTATTCCTGGTTGTGTCGGTAGCGTTTTCCTAGATCTCCCGCTGTAAACTCTCACAGGCCCAGTGTGACTAGTGGACTTTGTCCCCGTGGCCTGTCTGGGGGGGAAGGGAGGGGACAGCAGTGCATTTACTGATAACCACACAGCCAACCAGACACAGCACACTGGAACGGGAACCCTGCTTGCTTACGCAATACCTCCACCAATCATAAACAAAACCTAAAGGATTAACTGTGCCTGTTCTACTCCTTCAGAGTGGCTGGCCTCCATATTTGACTTTGCTGTGGCTGTGGCTGCTGGAAGTCACAATCAAAGTGGGGACAAATACACTGCCAACGCTGAGACACAGAGAGTGACAGTAGATATGACACGGAGCTGGGGCCAATCAGCTTGGCTGTAGAGCTTGATTGACAATTGACTTGGGGCCAATCAGCTGGGCTGTAGAGCTTGATTGACAATTGACTTGACCAATTAGGGTAGCTAGGTTTCAGTGATGTTAAGACTTTCGCATGCTTCCCAGTTGAAACAGTTCACGCATATATGAACATTTTGTGAAGTTTTGGTGTTCGGCAGGTTTTTTGGGCGCTGTTCGTGCACACATTTTTTCTTGAGGTAAGTCGATGTTTGGTGGCCGAAGTCTGCGCCCCTTCATCAGTGATTGGTCAACAGTACTACTCTTAAGCCCTATTCGGACGGGATTAGTTTTACTGGGGGAGGTCGGGTAATGTAATTATCTGCACGAGCACAAAACACCACATCTATAACTTTAGTCCCATCCGAATCCGCCATGGCAGTAATTTATACATGGCAGGAGATGAACAATTTCAGCCAGAATAACCTACTGATAACACTAGTCTGTGCAAATCGACATCCCTGTGTTTTGAGAGAAATGTCTGAGTTTGACAGGTGTTGCTCGCAGTTTGAGCAAGAAAACAATAACTGATTTGATTCACAGTGAATACATTTGTTTATATGTTTTGTGTGTATGAATTCAATACTGCCAAATGCATCAGTAAAAATATTGTGCCTATTTAATGCAACTCCTGCTGTTAATAGATCGCAAAACAGCATACAACTGAGCTAAACGTAGCCTTAAAATACATCAAGTGGGCTGTTTAGATCACATCTGAATTCTGGGGGGCATTTAGGATTCAAATATTATGGTGACACTATACCAACGATGGTTTGGTATGGTTTAGAAACTTGGGAACCAAGCTCGAGTTATCAGTAGGCGTGGGCTGTATACCATATTTTACTATACACCGGTATTGATGCACAGACCGGTTTGGGTTTTTACTTTACCTTCTATAACGGTATTTGAATGTTTGGTTTGTTAAATGTGATATGCCGCGTGTAACGTCCATTTTTATTGTTTACACTGCTACTTGAGTAATACCTCTCCGCTCTCGCTCTCCATGCCGTGTTCGTCACAGACCTAGCCCCGCCCCGTCACTCTAGGTGCGCATTTTTGTTGCTTGACCACGAGACACTTGCTTTCAGTCTGCATGGTCAAAGCAGCACATGCAACAATGTTGATGACAACGATATTGTTTCCGCTTTGCTTCTTAATGTAAATCCACAATCCTTCTATGATCAAAGCACTGTGACCTTTGAGCCCGCTGATCAATAGCAATATGTAGATGATGGTGTCACCACCAGCATATCGCTTTCACCTGATAATACCTTTCAGATCAGTAGTCAAGCCATTCCAAAGCACTACAGTAGAACTGAGCCAGAGTAGCATTTTGGACTATCAAAGTATTCTCTTACCTGCTTTGGTTCCATCTTGCCCTCTGCATTGACCTCTGGCTGGTGTTTGCTGTGGCTCCCACAGGGCTCCCCCAGGGGGAGTGGAGGGGAATCACACCATGCTCTCCACCCATCTCCCTGTCCCTCCTGAGGCCTTTCCCCCTCAAACAGGCTGCTCCTCTGGGCACGAGCACTCAGGGAAAATGAGGTTGTAGTGAAAGGCTCATTATGGCTGTGGGAAACGAACACATGGTCTGGTCCCTCCTGGAGTTCTATGGGGAGCAAGGCTGGGTTGTACTCAGCCTGGGGCTGGGGGTGGATGGTAGGCATGTGTTCCAGTGATACCGAAGTGCTGTTCCTCTTCCTCTCCACTGCGGCTCTCGTTCTGGCGGGCGAGGGCCGGCGTTGGCGGTCGCTTGCGGGTAGGCAGGGCGTGCGGCGCGAGTAGTCATCATGGAGACGGCTGAGGAGTGACAAGGGGGTCACGGGGGATGGGTTAAGCTTGCGTCTCACGGTCAGGTCAGTCATACTGCCCACTAGCTTCAACATGTGGCCCTTGGACCTCAGTGGACTCCTAAAGCGACCAGGGCTCTGGCTGCGTTCCCTAAGGTCACCGGACGAGGCACTGGCTGTTCTCTGAATGCTGGGGCCCCCATTGGCCCCTGGGGAGTCTATCTGAGGAGCGGGAGAGAGGAAAGGCGAGGGCACTTTGCGTCTGAAAGGGCCCTTGAAGAGGTGTAGGTTGTCTGCACTCTTGCTCAGTCTGCTTAGCACGTTCACATTCACACTCTCCTCCAAATGGAGGTTCACCTCTGACACTGAACCGGAGCCTGAACCTGGCCTCTGATTGGTTGAAACCCCCAGTCCTGGACCCTCCCCTCGTTTCCCCTGCCCAGCGTCCAGCAGTGTGATGCGCCCCGCCCCGTACGCTCTCCGGATACTCCTTGAGAACCATGTGTTTCTCTGCAGTCCATCTTCCTCATCTACTACCTCCTCCTCATCTTCATTGTCAGAACCACAAGGGCTCAACCCAGCCATCGGTTGGCCAACAGACACCCCATTGGACACTCTATAGCCCTCCCCACACCTAAGTCTTGGACTCTGATTGGTTGTGACCATCCCTTTATCTCCACCCTGGTTGGCTGCTGAGGTGTACTCTTCATCCTGATTGGCTGTCCCTCTGTTCTGGATGCCCTGGAGGACTGAGGAGCGTAGCTTCTTAAAGGAGCCCATGACGGCCAGCCCTGACAGACCTGGCCAAACCTGCGGGCCCGCGGCACTGGATGGAGGGCCCTGGAAGGAGAGGGGCCTGCTAGAGCCCTGACTGTCCCCTGGAACAGTGCACTTCCTCTGGGTAGAGAAGAGCCTCATGATCCTGGAGGGGTAGGGCTTCCCCTCAGGGTGGCCTATCACAGGGCTGGACCAGGCGGCCGTGTTGAACCCGTTCAGTCTACTCTCTTCACTGTTAAAGTCAGAGGTCATGGGCTGTACCTCAGCACCACACCCAGACAGCAGGGACGGGGGCACCGCCATCTCCACGTGAGCCTTCAAGGGGTAAAGGTCGCTGAGGGGTCTGGTCCGGGCTAGAGGTCGAAGGTCAGGGTCGGATGTGGAGCCACGGCAGTAGGAGGGAGAGTCCTCGCTGGTGGACGGGGTTCCATCGCTCTGCCCCGCCTAAAGAGACAATAGAAGTATCATTGTTTATCACTCTTACTATGTACAGTTTCCTTGATTGTCTTGAAAGGCACTTCGATTTCAGTCGGCCCCAGTGTAGGGATGTGTGTGTGTGTGTGTGTCTGTGTGTGTGTGTGGAGGGCAGCGGTTAATGCAGGCCAGTCTTTGATGAAAGGCTTTGTGTGCATGACTAAACAATGATAATTACTAATCCATTGTGATTAATGCAACAAATTGCCCATTTTCTCCAGATTTGGCCAATGGAGACAGGGAAAGGTGGTGTGATCTCTGCCTCTACTTCCATCCTGGGATCTGTTCAGTTCAACTCTCCACATTTCTCCTCTCTCTACATTTCGCTCCCCCTCCCCCTCTCTACATTTCGCTCCCCCTCCTCCCTCTCTACATTTCGCTCCCCCTCTCTCTCTACATTTCGCTCCCCCTCTACATTTCCCTCCCCCTCTCCCTCTACATTTCCCTCCCCCGCTCCCTCTACACTTTGCTCCCTCTCTCTCCATTTCGCTCCCCCTCCCTCTCTACATTTCGCTCCCCTCCCTCTCTACATTTCGCTCCCCCTCCCTCTCTACATTTCGCTCCCCCTCCTCCCTCTCTACATTTCGCTCCCCCTCTCTCTCTCTACATTTCGCTCCCCCTCTCTCTCTACATTTAGCTCCCTCTACATTTCCCTCCCCCTCTCCCTCTACATTTCCCTCTCCCTCTACATTTCCCTCCCCCGCTCCCTCTACACTTTGCTCCCTCTCTCTCCATTTCGCTCCCCTCCCTCTCTACATTTCGCTCCCCCTCCCTCTCTACATTTCGCTCCCCCCTCCTCCCTCTCTACATTTCGCTCCCCCTCTCTCTCTCTACATTTCGCTCCCCCTCTCTCTCTACATTTCACTCCCTCTACATTTCCCTCCCCCTCTCCCTCTACATTTCCCCCCCCACTCCCTCTACACTTTGCTCCCTCTCTCTACATTTCGCTCCCCTCCCTCTCTACATTTCGCTCCCCCTCCCTCTCTCCATTTCGCTCCCCCTCCTCCCTCTCTCCATTTCGCTCCCCCTCTCTCTCTCTCCATTTCGCTCCCCCTCTCTCTCTCTCTCCATTTCGCTCCCCCTCTCTCTCCATTTCGCTCCCCCCCTCTCTCCATTTCGCTCCCCCCCTCTCTCCATTTCGCTCCCCCCCCTCTCTCCATTTCACTCCCTCTACATGTCGCTCCCCCACTCCCTCTACATTTCGCTCCCTCCAATTTCGCTCCCTCTCTCCACATTTCGCTCCCCCTCTCTACATCTCGCTCCCTCTTTCTCTACATTTCGCTCCCTCTAAATTTCGCTCCCCCTCCCCCCATTTCGCTCCTCATCTCTACATTTCCCTCCCCCCCTCTAAATGTCCCTCCCCCTCTCTCTACATTTCTCTCCCCCTCGCTCTATATTTCTCTCCCCCTCGCTCTCTCTCTCTCTCTCCATTTCACATTGACCCAATTGATCTCACAGTAGCTCTGAACCTTTTAATCAAATACAGACTTAATGGCTACATTTCAGGACATTTAAACTGGACATTTCAGGACTCAATGTGATTGATTTTACTGCCTTTGTCTGACACAGACTTGCACTGAGCTTTTCCACTCTCTCTAGCACGGGGACGGGCAACTGGTGGTCCACAGCCCACCTTTTGTAGGCCCGCGGACCAATTTCCAAAAACAGGAACAATTATTATCATTATATAAAAAAAAAAAAAAAATGAGGTACTCAGTTGGGGTCTAAACTTACAGTTGAGAGTTAGAATAGTAGAATACACAAGGTGCAATTTCGAAATTTGGTTGTGCATCAGCAGTTTCTCTTGTTATGGCAGTCACTGACCCATGTCAGCTAAAATTTTTTAGATTGGTAAATTAGTCTAGCCAGCTATCTGAAATTGTAGTAATCATGGTTGAATTACCGACCGAGGGGCCCCCATTGATTTTATTAGTCACTCACTCAGATATCATATTTAAAAATTGAAACATTTCTCTCCACCCTATGGCAAAATGTGTAGAATTACAGGAAATTAGTTATAAAATCATATGAAAAGTATGAAAAAAAAAGAAAAAAAAGAAATGTATGCACTCACTAAGTCGCTCTGGATAAGAGCGTCTGCTAAATGACTAAAATGTAAATGTAAAATTGTAAAATCTCTCAACCCCATGTAAAAATGTGTAGAATTGCAGCAAACTTGCTTTAAAAAGGCAACATTTTCTCTACGCTATCTCAAAATTTGTAGAATAATTTCTCTCTCCGGTGTCTCAACAAAATGTCGCTTAGGGCCACTAAAAGGCTACGGCCTTACTGCATGTGTGGATATGGATATGAGTATGCAGACCCGCAAGCCACTGCGGCACCTCATGATGAGTTCAGATTTTTTGTGGGCCACATCCCCATCAAAGTTGCTCATCCCTGCTCTAGCACCTGGGAGTGGGAGCTAGACTACATGCTGTTAGCATACTCGTTTACCATATGGATTTTCTCAATGTTACACCTCTGCTGACAGTTCACCCATGTCTCTCCTTCACTCACTCTGACCACTACCGTAAACGGAAGAAAACCACTGCTATAAACTAACTCCCACTGTCACCATTCCTACTCCTCTCTAGTACTAACCTTACATACCATTCTTCTAGGCTCTCCAGTAAGACTAGGGCTGGGCGGTATACCGTATTTTACCATATACCGGTATTGATGCACGGACCGGTTTGGGTTTTTACTTTACCTTCTATAACGGTATTTGTGTTTGGCTTGTTAAACGTGATATGCAACTCCGGCGCGTATAATGTCAGTTTATATAGTTTACTCCATTTGCTGCATGCCGTTAACCACACCAAGCCTGTCCCCTGTCACTCAAGGAGAGAGCAGTTGTTTGACCACGGAGTCACAAGCACTTTCTTGCCGTTCACTCTGCTTTCCACAAGCGGTCTATAATTACATTATTCATTTGTGTATCTTACGGTCTGCAAACTACTGTTTGCTAGTTTGTCTTTTCTTAGCAAGGTCTTGCTAAAATAATTTATGTTAGCCGCTAATGCTAATCGCTAGTTAGCTGGCCAACATGCTAACTGTACTAAGAGTCAGAGCAAATGTAGCTAGATAGCTAATACCACCTGGTACCAGTGCTGGTGTAGGCCTAGATAAGCATGTTTGTGCAACGGTATCTTATTAGAGAGAAATATGCGAAGCATGAATATTTTGGCTAGCTGGCTAGCTACATGAAGTAAGAAAACATGTAATGTAACCTCTAATTAGGGTCACCTGGAAACACTGACCAACACTTAGGTTCCTACCCTGTCAATAATTCCTCCCTGGTTTATTCATTCGTTGTCATGTCACACAATGTATTCTAGGTGCTGCCCACTATATTCCAACTATAGAATTAGAATAATCATAATATTTCCATGATTCCAACAGTTCACCAATTAACTAGGCCTAGATTTTTGTTGCCCTTATGCTGTGTGGCACAGTGTGGAAATGATAGTAAAAGTGCAGGAAATGCAGAAATTGATGAAAATGCTGAAAATTATTTTTGTTTGGAGTTGGATAGAACAGTATAAATGGAGAAAGCCCCATTGAAATCACTTATTATTCATGTGTTGCCACCCTAGGGTCATGAACTAATTAGAAAGCATATTTAGAACATTTGATTTATTATTCAAAAACATAAAATACCGCCAGAAATGTGACAAATATCGTGATATGATATTTTGTCCATATCGCCCAGCCCTAAGTAAGATACAAGGTTGGTGAATGAAAGAGACTACTCTAGCACTGAAAGGGCACACCAAGGCAGTCCTCTATCCACTGTATTACCTCATACTCACCTTATCTTCCTACTCTACCACTCGCTCCACTATGCCAATTCTACCTTGCACAATGCACACTACCCCTATGCCTTCTCTCTCAGCCTGGTGCAAACATTCACAGCCCAGTTGGGACCTGCTATACTTGGCACGATACATCATAGGGTTCTGTTTCAAAGGAGTTGGAGTTACTGCCAGTACCTCAAATCTAGAGATCAGCCAACTTATTGTGTGTAGTTTTACCCTGGCCAGCACAATAAGCTGCGTAGGACAGTGGAACCTCCTACTGTACTAGCTGCTACTCTACCCTCTTAGTACTACTAGTACATACTACAGCACTATGCAGGCCATTTAAGCTATGCTTCAACAATATGGAAGCTGTATGTGAGTGGTTCTCTGGGGCTACCTTTCCAGTAATGCTACTGCAGGTCAGGTCAGTGTTCCTGGGTGGTTGCATGTGAAGTCTGGGAGCTAGTGGTGCTCTGGCTCTCAGGCCCAGAGTTAATTAAGAGAGAGGAGAGAAGAGTAGCCCCCCCCACACGACTGCCAGCTAGAGCCAGCCTCAGATTAGACTCCCAGAGAGAGGAGGGCTGGGGCCACACACACACACACAGAAATACACTAAGACGGCCCACAATATACTGAAAGACATGCACACTTACACATACTTCAGAAGACACAGACACTGTGTAGGCCTACAGAGTAAACATGTACCCCCCACACACACACAGTAGGGGACTGGGGGGGGATACGGAGGCAGGCATTCTCTCGGTCATCAACTCCCTTCCCTTTGGGCTGGTAAAGTCACAGCCTTATGTAAGGGGTCATAAACGAATAATCATTAGTGAACTCCAGCCCCCAATTCAGCTCCACAGAGCCAAAGTATGTTCTGCCTTGCCCAGGGCCAAGTTCAGGCTAATTGTGCAAAGATGAACAGAGAGTTAAACTAAATAGACGGCTAGACAGAGAATATCAAGGGAAAGTCACTTCTCTAGCAGTTTTTTTTCCATTTGGTAGCTAAGCCATGAGAAAGAAATGGCCAAAAGCACTAGCACGGCCATTCTTAGGTAAGCTGCTCATTTACTGGTTGTCTGCTTATCGGAGTGATCGAATCTAGCCAGCCAGGCTTATCAGTGCTGTCCTGACCAGAGACAAACATGTTCTGGAAAAATAACTTATTAAAACAACCAACTGAACTAGTGAAAGTATGCTCATTCTTTATTCTTTGTATCCCTTCCACGTTAGCCACACTGATACATATGTAGGAGACCTTCAATGTTACCCATGCTGATACGTACACTACCTTTCAAAAGTAGTGTACGTACAGTGGGGAAAAAAAGTATTTAGTCAGCCACCAATTGTGCAAGTTCTCCCACTTAAAAAGATGAGAGAGGCCTGTAATTTTCATCATAGGTACACGTCAACTATGACAGACAAAATGAGAAAATAAAATCCAGAAAATCACATTGTAGGATTTTTAATG